CTCCCTCTCTGTCTGTCTGTCTGTCTCTCTCTCTCTGTCTGTCTGTCTGTCTCTCTCTCTCTGTCTCTCTCTCTGTCTGTGGAAAAGTATGATATATATATATACCGTATATCCCATTTGAGCCCTCTGACCCCTTCTTGTGTGTGTGTGTGTGTGTGTGTGTGTGTGTGTGTGTGTGTGTGTGTGTGTGTGTGTGTGTGTGTGTGTGTTTTTAGCCTCCACTTGCACTGCCGGGTCAGATTGACCCAAATACCATCTCTGTGATATAGACATGTAGGGGGGGGTTCCAAATGCATGACATGAACCATTTTAATTGTACTTGTTTATTGCACTAATTAAGGTAAGGAGAAGAAGTTTCATACAAAAAAAATACTTTAAAGTATTTTTCGTAGATTTTTACACTTTCAAACGGGTCAATTTGACCCTGAATGTAACAGGAGGGTTAAGAGAGATAGCAGCAATACCCAAGGCCGTAGACCTACGGGAAAGGAGACAGTGAAAAGAGGAAAATTATGAACTGTGTCAAAGGTTGAATACCTAAGCAAATTATTCCCCAACATTTCCTCTCTTTTTATCAATTTTGATAACCTAAAAAACTATTCTAATAATAATTTGTTCAATACTTAAATCAATGAGAATCTTCAGATTTGAGTGTGAACTTACACAACATCAATTACATCAATAACAATCACATTAATAACAACATAAGATTGAAACATTCAATCATAATGATTGAGACAGCCAATCATAATAGAAAAATCATCTCCCGTCAGTGTTTGGAGCATCTTTTGTCAAAAGCATAATAATGAACACATGTAAAATCACAGATACATAATAGCAAAAACATTTATTTTAAACTAATATGATTTAACATTGAACCATTAGTTAATCTCCTTTATTAAAGGGGACCTATCATGCAAAATGCACTTTTGTATGTCTTTTCTACATGAATATGTGTCCCCGGTGTTCCAGGGAACTCACCAAGTGTCAGAAAACACAACCCTCTCTATTTTCCTCCATACCCTAATCTCTAAAAAAGGGGCTGCAACGGATCTGATAAAAACTGATCCAGATTTGAACACTGTCCTGACGTCAGGACGGTGGCGCTACGGCTATTGGGCCAACTCCACCAATCAGGAGGAGACAGCCACGGCCATTGCCGTTCGAAAGCGCTGGAGACGCTGTAGTACATATGCCAGGCCTGTAGGTGGTGCTGTTCTCACTGAATCTGCCCAGAGCTAGAAATTGTCAAATTGAGCGAAATGAGGCATGGCTAAAATGCATGATCTGTTTGGTATTTTGAAAAAAAAAAAAGTATAAATATGCCTTATATAGGTATGGTCCTATACTATATTATTCAAATATAGCATGATAGGTCCACTTTAAACTATAACATCAAAACCAGCTTGCAGCTTAAAGATTTACTTCAAGGCAATCACTAGTCAAAAGCATTTAAAAGGGATCCTACGGTGGCCCGGAAGTGCAAGACACCACAGCATTTCACAAAACACCACAGCATTTCACAAAACACCACAGCATTTCACAAAACACCGCAGCATTTCAGAAAACGCTACAGCATTTCAGAAAACGCTACAGCATTTCAGAAAACACAACAGCATTTCAGAAAACACCACAGCATTTCACAAAACGCCGCAGCATTTCAGAAAACACAACAGCATTTCAGAAAACACAACAGCATTTCAGAAAACGCTACAGCATTTCACAAAACGCTACAGCATTTCACAAAACGCAACAGCATTTCACAAAACACAACAGCATTTCACAAAACACAACAGCATTTCACAAAACGCAACAGCATTTCAGAAAACACAACAGCATTTCACATTGGACGGAAAGGGTATTCCTTTAGGGAGAACACTTCTTGTTTGTGATTGGACAGAGCCAGCCAGAGAAGCACTGCTGTGATTGGTTGTTTTTGCTGCCAGTCAAGAAATGACGCTTCGTGATTGGTCAGCACCCGAGCGCAACATGTCCCAACACATCAACCGTTAGCTGTTAGCACACACTCAGAGCTCACAGCTCCTCATATCTGTTCAGAAACTGGACAAAAGTTAAACAAGTACAAACCACAGACTGTCTATGTCATGGCGAATACAGTCGCTGCTTTATTTATGTCTGTATGACGCTGTTGTGAGTGTGGACGGAGCAGCTACAGGTTAGTTTAGCCTGATCGATCCGCCCCCTCTCCAGCGCGTCTTGTTTGAATGACAGGAGAAAACACTGACAGCTGCGGTGAAACTCGACAACAAAATGAACATATTGACCATGATTTAATTGTAATACACGTTTCAAAGTGATGCCGAAGTAACTACATACTGATACCGGTTAGTAACAACCATGAATTAATGCTTTGACAAGTCTGCAGACAAGACGGCAGGCGAAAAGCTTTTAAAATGCGTGTTTTCTGAATGGAATCGGATCCATCAGGCTAAACTAACCTGTAGCTGCTCCGTCCACACTCACAACAGCGTCATACAGACATAAATAAAGCAGCGACTGTATTCGCCATGACATATACAGTCTATGGTTTGTACTTGTTTAACTTTTGTCCCGTTTCTGAACAGATATGAGGAGCTGTGAGCTCTGAGTGTGTGCTAACAGCTTGAGCTGGGTTCAATACTTTCTTTATGGTATTTAAATTGGGCTCAAGTAGAACTTTTACATGTATTTGGCTTGCAACACAAAGTGATACTGATCTCTGTCTGTTATGATTTGGAAGTGTCATGATTTAAAGTGGAGGCCTGTGAAGGAGAAAACAACATCTATTTTTTTATTTTCTTTAACTGTAATTACTTATTTTAAAGAGATTGCAAAATGTGACTTTTAAAGAATTGCTCAATTCATTTAACACATGTATTACGCACACAAACAACTTCAACAAATATATTGATCCTGGCTTAACCAGCGACCTTTACTCTTTTTTTTTCATAAGCTTGGTTTCAGAAAACTTGTCAGTCGTTTAACAAATATTTCAATTTTAGTAATGTCTATGGAGACCAAATTGGTTGATATGATAAATAATTTGTAGCAGTTTAATAAAGAATGTTTAAACTATATTTAAAACTGTAGTTTAACTTCAACTTGTATTAATTATCTGAATCCAGTGGCCAGTTGGAATAGATAATCAACAAAGTTTCCATTTTGCAGCAACAGCGCAAAATGTTTCTACAATAACTGGTACATTTTTATATACAAAGCCATGTTAGGGAAACTTCCATCCTACATCTGGTCCCTGATCTCACGGCGAATTGTAAGTGGCTACTGCCTGAGATCGCATGCTGTGGTTTTATTAAATGTACCAACTGCTAGGACTGTCTTAGGGAAAATAGCATTTAGATGCGCAGCTCCACTGTCCTGGAATAGTCTGCAATTGATTTGATTGTTTTTTTGTTGTTGGTGTGTGTGTGTGTGTGTGTGTGTGTGTGTGTGTGTGTGTGTGTGTGTGTGGTGTGTGTGTGTGTGTGTGTGTGTGTGTGTGTGTGTGGTGTGTGGTGTGTGTGTGTGTGTGTGTGTTGTGTGTGTGTGTGTGTGTGTGTGTGTGTGTGTGTGTGTGTGTGTGTTGTGATGTTACATCCCTCAGAGATGTCTATTCTTCTTCTTTTTCAAACCCATACTGTGAGAAAGGCACTAGATTATCTGAAAGATTACTTATTTTTGTTTAAACCGACAGTGTGGGGACACCTGCCAGATACAGAGTCACAGGAACTGACCATAAAAACAGGAAAGGGAGATAAAAGAAGGGGGGAGGGTCTGGAGGGGGAGGTGTTTTGACTCTGGACCCTAGGGTGGGGGAAAGGAAGAGGTAGATGATTCATTTGATAGATCTGACTTGATTGTTGTGTTGGTTGAAGGAAGAGACACGGGCGAGGAAGAAGCAGAAAAATAACTTGTTTGTAAAAAGGACAGCACGTCTTTTTTCTCAAATGTATGTCAGTTTCAAGAAAGATGAGAGGTTTTATGCATGACGTGCAAAATATCTTGGAAACCTTCAAAAAAGAAAAGCAGGTACAGGTAAAGTATGTTGAAATATTTCACAAAAAGTGAGTTGTATGTTGATAAAAATCTCTGTGTAGTTTTTCAAAATATAATGAACAAAGTCATAGAGGGGAAAAAAATAGCACAGTATGGGGAAAATATGAAAACGTTATGTTAGAATAACATGAAATAATTCACAGTAAAGCATCTAAAAAAAACATTTAAAAAAAGTCAGGTTATTAAAGTTATTAAAACTGTATTGTTTCACCGAAACAGTGTTAAAATCACAAACTTTCCATTTAGAGTTTGATTCTTTAAGAAACTTAATTCATTACAAATTAATTCATATTTTACCAAGTTGTAAAGTTTTACATCCATTAAAGTGTAACTATAAGTATCTTTGTAGGAGACAAAAGCATAAATCTGTTCATAGTCTTAGTATAGTATTTCATATATATAATTTAAAAAGAGTCACAGTGTAGAATGTCCGTACATTTATTTTTAAAAGTACTAGTATAGTATGTCAAAAGTATCTTGAAAAAAAAGTCCAAGTATAGTATGTAGTTAAGAATTATATTATGTAGTTTGTCTGCAATGTCAGTATAGGATTTCAAAAAAAATAAAGAAAGTCATAGTATAGTTTGTCTAAAAGATCTTGAAAAAAAAAGTAATGACATTGTGTGTTGAAATGGTTTTGAATAAACACATCACGTCAAATTGTATCAAGTGCATCAGACAACTCCAATTACTCCATTTGAACCATATTATAAATAAGAAAAGAATGGTCATAGTATATAGTTAGAAATCACAAACTTGCCTTTTAGAGTCACAGTCTTTAAGAAAATACATTTGTTACAAAGTAATTAACAATCTACCAGTTGTAAAATGTTCCTATATAAAAGTGTATCAAAAAAAGTATCTTGGTAGCAGAAAAAATAACTAAAATATGTAAGGTTATCAGAAAAAAAACTACATTGTTTAACTGAACAAGTGTTAAAATAAAAAAAACAGCCATTAAAAGAAACCCAATTCCTTACAAAGTACTTCATATTCTACAAGTTGTTAAGTGTTGCATACATCAAAGTGTATCTAAAAGGATCTTAGTAACACAAGAAAAGAGAAAAAAGCATTGATGTTAACACTGGATTGTTCCACTGAAATAGTGGGGCTATTGCTTCAACGTTATCAGGAAATGATCGTATAGGCGTAAACAAGGAGCCGTTTGTCCCCCCAGAGCGTTTCGTTTGCAGATCTACCCACCTTGGGACCCGTTATCGTTATCGTTATCGTTTTCTGCGTTTCCATGTCGGCCTTGTGTGGCCGAACCGTCTATCTGATAGTGAACTGTAGCCAGGGGCGGACTGGGACTACAAATCAGCCCGGGACTCTCGACCGGCCCACCTCGGTAAATTACTAACGGGGGGGGGGGGGGTGCTAGTGACTTATCCGAGCTGCCCACATCGTCCGACCGGCCCACTTCAGTACCGGCCCATCGGGATTCGTCCCGAACGTCCCGATGGCCAGTCCGCCCCTGACTGTAGCAGATACGACCGTTATCGTCCTCGTGTGGCCGGGGCCTCAGTTTGTGAGGCTGCAGAGAAAAACCCCAGAAGTGTCTTGTTTTTGTGAAAACAGTAGCCTCGGGGAGATGCTCTTGTGTCCACTGAGCTTCAGACTGGTTGTTTGGCTGGGAGTGCAGGGGGCTCCACAATCTGGGAGCTGAGGAATTTTTAAAGCAAAGCATTTTACAGCATACTGAAATATCTTTCTTAAACTCAGAAACTATTCTTCATTCTTCACCAAAACCACACTTAACAAAAATGAAAAGGTTAAGACAGTGGGGAACAAGATGATTGTGCATTACAAAGGCCATTCAAACACTACATCTATGAATATATTCTAGTTAAGCACTATATAAATGTAATTTACTAATGATTAGGTGTATTTCAGTCTAAGTCTGCAGCCCCTTGTGGGTTATGAGTTTCCTGTTTTTGTCTGTGAACAAGTCTGGTTTTAGTGAAGACTGTTTAATCCATCAAAAGCAGTTGATTTGTTTACTGGTCACAGTAACAGACTGTGTGAGATATGTTTCTCATCACTTGGTTTTGAACAGGATTTTACAGAAAACAAACTTTGTGACAATTACACAGTTACTCAATGACCTCAAACCTAATTTAGGATTCCTGTGCTGCACTTATCGTCCGACCATTCCTCATTGTCTGCAATTAGCTAAAATTGGCCTGGGTGATACAGTATGTCGGTCTAGCTCTTTTTTTATCTGAATAGGAACTACACTTAAAGTGGACCTATCATGCTATATTTGAATAATATAGTGTAGGACCATACCTATATAAGGCATATTTATACTTTTTTTTTTTCAAAATACCAAACAGATCATGCATTTTAGCCATGCCTCATTTCGCTCAATTTGACATTTTTTAGCTCTGTTTTTGCAAGGGCAGATTCAGTGAGAACAGCACCACCTACTGGCCTGGCATATGTACTACAGCGTCTCCAGCGCTTTCGAACGGCAATGGCCATGGCTGTCTCCTCCTGATTGGTGGAGTTGGCCCAATAGCCGTAGCGCCACTGTCCTGACGTCAGGACAGTGTTCAAATCTGGATCAGTTTTTATCAGATCCGTTGCAGCCCCTTTTTTAGAGATTTGGGTATGGAGGAAAATAGAGAGGGTTGTGTTTTCTGACACTTGGTGAGTTCCCTGGAACACCGGGGACACATATTCATGTATAAAAGACATACAAAAGTGCATTTTGCATGATAGGTCCCCTTTAAAGTAAATGAATCAGACGAAATGGGAACCAGAAGTTCAGCACATTCTTTTTTAAGTAAGTAACATCCAGTCTCTACTCAACTACTCCCAAGTTCAAGATGAGCGTGCCCCGTGTGTGGATAGTAAAGACACACTGTTTGTTTAACTCTTGCTCCCATGGGAGCGGCGCCCTACTCAGGTTGGTGTGTCCCGCACCGTCGTCTCTTTACGGCACCTTTTCACACCTCCCGCGGCAGATTCAACATGTTGAATCTGCCGCGGGAGGTCAGAGAAAGTCGGTCCAAGCAATCACTCTGATTGGCTGTTCACACTACCGCTGCCTGCTGGCAAGGACAGTTATTGCCACTCGTCGACTGAAGTATTTGCGGTGTGTTCGTAGGCGGGCGGCGTAGGCGGGCGGCGTAGGCGGGCGGCGTAGGCGGGCGGCGTAGGCGACGTAGCTGACGTAAAAGTCGGGACGCCTTCGGTACGCGTTCTTTGGTCTCAGGTGGGTGTGTAGCGGCCTTTAGCTTCACCCGCCTGGTCATGATTTCCCCATTGCTAATAGGAATATCTTTATATTTAATCAAAGTTTTTGTGAAATTCCTCCTTATTGCCTAGCTCAAATACCAATGTTATCTGGTGTTTCATCTGCAAAATCACTCATTTAAACCAAAAGTCTTTAATATGTGAAATTAGGGCTGTGCAATTAATCGTATTTTAATCGCAATTACGATTTTGGCCTGCCACAATTACGAAAACAACATAATCGAAAAATAAAACGATTATTTTGCTTTGCTTGGTTGTGACAGTGCACTGCAACATATTTGATCTAATTTATTTTAGTCTAATTTATTTGTATTTATCATATTTACATATGTTTAGTAGCTTGTTGAAGTGCGCTCCAAAATATTTGTTGATCTTGTTTATTGGTATTTATTATTTTTGATATTATTTATTTAAATGTATCATTTATTTAATTTATTTTTGTATTGGTTTTTCAGTTTAATTATACGTTCAGGGTAATCAACAGTTAAAAAAATACTGTTCAAATTATTATTTGTATTTGTTTTAAAGTTCAATAAATGGATGTTTTCAAAGTCAATGAATAATCATGATATCAATTATTGACCAAAATAATCGTGATTATGATTTTTGCCATAATCGCACAGCCCTATGTGAAATAATTAAATATATCCTGGTGGCCCACTCACACCAAACGTAGATTGGACCTGAATCCTTCACAAAAAAAGCAATGGATTAAGTTGCCATGATCACGAAACCTTTGGGCACTTTTACAGACCTTGAAAAGTGCTTAAATTGTACTCTTGAAAAACTCTACCAGTCCTCTGAAAACAAAATGCTTCTTATCTGTGTTCTTGTACATGCAGGCCTAAATGCCCACCTCAAACCTTGGAGAGAAACAGAATATCCTCTTCTTCTTGATAAGTGGGGAATTTCAATGTCAACAACAATTTAGATTTCCATTCATTTGTAAAAAATATACATTATTTATCATAAGAGCCACAGAGCACATTTTCCATTTGTGCATACCAATGTTTATTTTCCACAAGCAAATATAAGCAAATGTGTCTCTCGCTAAATACTTGTACCCTAAACCTATTTTCTATGTTTGCTTTTAACCCATGAGGCTGCTTTCTCTCGTGGTCATGCATTAATTTGTTTTTATTACTTTTTGTTTGTTTTTAGCTTAGCACTGTGAATGACCCGCTACTGATGCCCCAACGGTCTGAATGGAGTTGCAGTTGCAGAAAAGCCAACAGTTGTAGCTCCCTCAGCAGGATGCTGATGAGACCGAGTATACTTCTGAGTCTGGTTTTACTCTCCCAAGTTTTACGGACGGAGTGCTGGCCTGCCAACACTGATGAAGGTAAGATGTCTTATTTGTACACTGCCTTTTTCTGCTTCTGGATGTAGTATTACTTAAAAGACACGTAACTGTTTTAGCTTCATGTCTGACTTATCTCGACTCCCGCCTTGAGAAACAGTCCGCTGATAATCAAAGCTTTGTTCTTTGTACAGGAATGTAACCCTAACACACTCCAGGCTTTGGTGAAATCTGTCCTTTGTAGCGTCAGTGTTTCCTCCACCACCCCCAGTCTGATGTTTGAGAACACTTAACTGCGTCAGATTTAGTACAACCATGTTTCAGACTATAATGGCGCGTTTCCACTACACGGCCTCGCTCGGCCTCACTCGGTATGGCTAGGCCTCGTTAGGACTGGCTCACTTTATGGCGCATTTCCATTACAGTTTAGGAACTGGGGTAGTATCTATAGTAACGCAGTGTAGGCGGAGCCGTGACGTCATCTTCAATGAGAACCCCAGAAAAACAACACAGCCGTTAGCTGTTAGCACTCAGAGCTCACAGCTCCTCATATATGTTCAGAAACTAGACAAAAGTTAAACAAGTACACACCACAGACTGCCTGTGTCATGGTGAATACAGTCGCTGCTTTATTTATGTCTGTATAGGCCGTTGTTGTGAGTGTGGACGGTCGGAGCATATACTGCGTTAGCTTAGCCAATCTCCATTTAGAAAACACGCATTTTAAAAGGTTTTTCGCCTGCCGTCTGTCTGCAGACTTGTCAAAGCATTAATTCATGGTTTATACTAACCGGTATCAGTATGTTGTTACTTCGGCATCATTTTGAAACGTGTATTACAATTAAATCACGGTCAAATATGTCCATCTTGTTGTAGTTGTAGCCCCCTTGCCAGCGATGCTCTCTCTAGTTTAGCATACTCAGCCCGACTCAGCCTCGTTGTCTCTGGCCCTGGACCCACGATTTTATGAGGCCAGAAAAACTGTGAATTAGGACCCGCCGGCCGGTACTAGGCCAAGTGGAAACGCAACCAAAGATGGGCCGCTGACGTCACAGCCCTCTTAAACCGTGCTCCGCACTGTAGTGGAAACGCGCCATTAGAAACGCGCCATTAGAAACGCGCCATTAGAAACACTTTTTCAGTTTGTCCTGGCTAACTAAACCAGAGCGTAAAAGATATGAGTTAATCTTACAGACAGAACTCTTGGTCTAATGGTTTTTATTTTGTTCCTAATCTCGACTGTACAACTTTAAGATGTCCTATAAAGAATGTAGCCCGGTCTGGCTGTTACACACGCTCTGAAAAGGGGAAAGAGTCACTGAAATTGAATCCTTAAAAATGTGCCTCTTGGATTCAGTCCAGCAGTGTAATAGCTGCCTGGACTTGTGGGTAGATGGGTTTGTATGTTTACACGTTGCAGTCGGAAGTGGGGAGCTGCAAAAGAATATGATAAAGCCCAGCATTATAATTAGAGTAATTAAGCAAGAGGGTCTCTCTTGGGCTGTAAGCCCTAAAATAAACTTGGCGCGGCTGTGTTTAAGCCAACAGTGGGACAGGGAGGAGTAAATGACTCCCATCTGTAGTAATGCAATTGTTTATCCGTTTTCCTAATAATTACATTAGAACCCATCTGGTTAGAAAATAAGTGTATGCATGTGTTGCAAGAGTGTAATGATTACTTTAGTCTAAGTTGCAACATGTTTCTCCAAACCATTTTTTTTATTGGTGTTTAAACCTGTGTGCCTGTGTGGTTTCTAAGACCAACGTGCAGCAGAGCAGACCACACTAATGGTAGTTATAAAACTAGATCTACATAAAGTTTAATTATTTAAAAGGATTTTCCTCTGTGTGCCACAGCAGAGCCCCGACCAGACTTTACTGCATTCAACCATCACTGCAGTGAGAGCAGGAAATCCCAGAAGTCATTCACGCGGCATATTGCTTCCTATCTCGTAGCCAGAGAAGGTTCCATAGACTGGCGCCAAGTTGGTTTTGGATTTACAGACTAGTGAGCCTTCCCCCCTTAATTTAAAAAGAAACCCTCTCAATGATTTCTTCTTCACAAAATTCCTTTCATGATTTCTGTCATTAAGCTGATGTCAATCATTCCCCCCCCCCCCCCCCCCCCCCCCCCCCCCCCCAATCATAGCGGCAGGAGGATTAAGTGAGATGAAACATCCTTAAATTCAAAGGAAATGCTGGAAACTTGGCACTTAACTCTGCGCGAGAAGTTGGAATGAATTTACTTTGTGATAAAGTGTGTTGCTGTTTGTTAGTAGGGTTGTCAGAAAACATGTGTAGCAAAATCTTTTTTGATATTGTATGGATTCTCAAAAACGCTTTTGATTTTAGTGACAATGGCAAATATAGTTATTCCAGGAGGATGGGGCGGGACAGAGGACGCTACTGAGGAAACTCAGAAGATTTGTGATGCGGTGAGTTCTCAATCTACGTTCATTCTTCACAAGCTCCACAGACTACCCTCTGGTCTGGCCTAATGATACATTTGTACTTCATTTTTACACAGGTGAAGGATCAAGTGGAGCAAAGAACCAACCAAAAGTATGCGGTGTACAAAGCAGTGACATTCCAGCAACAAGTTGTGGCAGGAGGAAACTTCAACATAAAGGTAAGGAATATTGTGATTTATGAAAAAAAAAAAGCATGAAAGCCTCAGATAGCGTGTTTGTCTTTATATCATATACAAGATTAATCTATTAACCAAATACATTTTGGGGGGGGGGCGTACGGACAGAAACTCCCTCTGGAGGGAAGACAGGGATTTTAGCCTTTGCAGACTACATGCACTAAAACCTATAGAACACACAGGAAAGAGACACAAACCCAAACAGCAGAATAGGGCTCTTTAAATCTAATGCCAGGTCCAATTCATCGCAGGACAGTTTACGGTACCACTTTACAATAAGACTACCCTTATAAAGGGTTTACGAATAGTTTGTAATTCATTTATTAATTAGGTTGTGAACACTTTATAAATCATTAATAAGCTTTTATAAGACATGAGATAAACAGGGCAACTGTGACCGGTTGCTTGCCAAATAGTGAGCCCACATTTATCTGTACTGCTAAGCCTTATTATAAATGGTAGTGACTCATTAATAAATGGTGATTTGTTTCACACTTTACAATAAGGCTCCCTTTTGGCGGTTATAAATGTTAGTAACTCGTAAATAAATGGTCATAAGAGATGCCAAGAAACATCAAGATGGAAGGGGGGGAATCAACTCAGTGAACAACAGATACCAAGGATTATATTGGCTACCTAGTTTACTTCGTCTCCTTCATCAGCTAGCATCCTTGGTATCTGTTGCTCACTGAGTTGATTCTCGCTAAGTAGCCAATATAAGGCTTAGTCATCTTGCCAAATAGTGAGCCTGTGTTGATGTATGAAGACTATGTTAGAACTGGTTTATAAATGGTTCTTAATGATTAATAAAGTGTTTACAACCTAATTAATAACCTAATTATAGACCCTTTATGAATCCTTTATAAGGGTAGTCTTATTGTAAAGTGGTACCCAGTTTACTCCAGTTTGACAAAAGCTTCACATTTATCAGATTTATATTTTTATTTCCCTCTCTTTCCTGCAGGTCTTGGTTGGAGGGGAGAACTACATTCATCTGAGTGTTTTCCAACAACTTCCTTGTAATGGAGGAAATGTTGAGCTGCTCAGCGTTGAAGAGGGAAAAACCAAAGACGACCCCCTCGTCTGCATGTGTTAACGTTGACATGACCTTTTTCAACAGTGTAATACTTAAAGGCAGCAGTCTGATATTAAAATGCTCTTCTTCTTTATCCTGAAATGATTAAAGAATGATTTTGAATCTGTCTCACAGAGATACAGATATTTGGTGTTGGGTAGCAGCAAGTTGAACGCATTCCTTTCAAATAAATAATAAAGAAAGCATTACAAATCTCAAAATATGTCCTCTGGTTGTAATCTTGGCTGGAATAAATCGTTATAAAATGATAACAGTTATTTGTTATTGATTATTTTAATTTAATATTAAACTATGTATAAGAAAATACTTTTGCCCTGGAGAAAGAAGTGCATTTTATACATTTATTTGTATTTTTGCCTGAACAACAATTTGGAAATGATTTCTTCAGAAATGAACCAAACTCACCTGGATCATGAGAGGGTTTTGGATTCACCTGCAGCTCCAGAGGCTTTACTTGAGCACCAAAACATTATTGTCAAAATACTTCATTACAAGTAGAAAGTCGTGCATTCAAATGTTACTTTGATAAAAAGGAGAAAGGGTTATCAGCCAAATGTATTTACGGAGGAAAAGAGGGTTTTGTTCCCCGACACACCGGGGACACATATTAGTATAAAAGACATCTAAAAGTGCCTTTTGCATGATAGGTCCCCTTTAGGGAGGCGTGTGGTGCAGTGGGTTGTGTGTTGGTGTTCGGATCAGGGGGTCACAGGTTCAAACCCCACTGCAGTCAGCATGTCGTTGTGTCCCTGAGACACTTCACCCCAAATTGCTCCTGTGGGGATATGTAAGTCGCTTTGGATAAAAGCGTCTAACAAGTGACATGTCATGTAATGTTTACAGCATGGAGACATGTCCCAGTAGAGACACTAAATACTGATATGAACCCGATTAGCTATACATGGATCAATAAAGGTCTATCTCAGTTCCCCCAAATTATTGAAATCACAGAAAACACATGAAACTTGAAAACATTTCATTGTCTTTTTAAAAAAACACTTTTTTTTTTTATTACAATTGCTCCCTTTGGAGAAGCACAGGCAGGACTGTGTTACAGCTGTAGTAATGCACACATGGATCACATGGAATATAGGTGTGTTGGAGGTCAGAGGGGTGTGTGTGTGCGTGTGTGTGTGTGTGTGCACGCAGCAGGACACACACTCTCAGCTCCAGTCTGGACTTGAACCTCGAGTAAAGCATCGGGCGGAGCTTCACTTCACCTTCGGAGGCGTGTAGTGGATTCTGCACCTCTCACTGAAAACCTGAACACAGGAAAGTCAGATAATGACAGAGCAGTGGAGTGTGATTATGGGATGTTCTGATTATTGTGAGCTTACCTTCAGACTTCTGTCATTGACAACCTCTTCAACGTTCAGCTCTGATTGCATAAGCTTTAACTGGAGGCAAGGAAGGAAAAAGACGTTACTAAATGAAGGACAGAACAGATTCATCCAGGAAGACGATTCAATCATTCACAATTCTCTCTCTCTCTCTCCTCCAATCAGTGATGAGATCAGTGTTTCACTCTCTTAGCCAATCATAGCGCTGTTTAAATCTGCTCTCTTCTCATTTCATACTGTTGTATATATGGCAATACATATGATAATAGTACACTCAAAACAAAGTCTCTCCTGATTCAAATGTATTATTTTCACACAAAGTACGATGATCAACTTTTATCAATTATATATTACATTTCTGTTGCCTACAAATTAGTTTACATAACTAGTCCACACACACATATATTAAAAATGTAACCAGAAGTTTGTTACGGAAGGTCGTAATGTCCTGTTTCCTCTGGTTCTGGCTTTTAACCCCTTTCTTCTGAAGAAATAGTCCCTATGAAATCAGTCCACAGTGAGTTCCACTACAGCGCGGAGCTCGCTTTATGCGTGCCGTGTCGTGCCGTGCCGTGCCCGTTTTTGGTTGCGCTTCCACTAGGCCTAGTTCCGGCCCGGGGCTACTTTTTCACGTCTTTTCTGGCCCGAGAAAATTGTGGTTCTATCGGGGCCAACAAACAGGGCTGAGTCGGGCTGAGTATGCTAAACTAGAGAGAGGAACGCTGGCAAGGGGGCTACAACTACAACAAGATGGACATATTTGACCGTGATTTAATTGTAATACACGTTTCAAAATGATGCCGAAGTAACAACATACTGATACCGGTTAGTAAAAACCATGAATTAATGCTTTGTCAAGTCTGCAGACAGACGGCAGGCGAAAAACCTTTTAAAATGCGTGTTTTTCTAGATGGAGATTGGCTAAGCTAACGCAGTATATGCTCCGACCGTCCACACTCACAACAACGGCCTATACAGACATAAATAAAGCAGCGACTGTATTCACCATGACACAGGCAGTCTGTGGTTTGTACTTGTTTAACTTTTGTCGAGTTTCTGAACATATATAAGGAGCTGTGAGCTCTGAGTGCTAACAGCTAACGGCTGTGTTGTTTTTCTGGAGTTCTCATTGAAGATGACGTCACGGCTCCGCCTACACTGCGTTACTATAGTAACTACCCCAGTTCCTAAACTGTAATGGAAGCGCAGCATGAAGTGAGTCGGCCCTGTTAAGGCCCAACGCGGCCAAGCCGTACCGAGTCGTACCGAGCGTGGCCGAGGCCGACCGTGTAGTGGAAATGCGCCATTAGAGGATTATCCTGACCAACTAGGACATGTTTCTGTAGATTATAGTAAATTAAATATACAAATATATTGAGAAAATATTAGTTTTTTGGTGATTTGGGTGAAGAGCCACTGAGGGAGACTATTCCAGCTGCAGATGTCTCTTGTCTCTCAGCTGCTGGTGTTTGGAGCCCTCTAATGTCAGGAACAGGACTCACTTTGGTCTGCTCCTTCCTGAGCTGTCTGAGTAGCACCAGGTTATCGCTGTCTTTCGCTCTCTCTTCTCGCAGTTGTCCCATCACCTCAGATGTTTGAGTGATACAGGATTTGATAGCTTTGTCTCTGGTCAGATGGGCCTCCATCATCTGTGGAACACATGATATAAATAGTTGAACTACATCAGTGTGATGGGAAAAAGCTACGAGGTTTGGTTTTAGTTATCATGGCTGCCACTCACAGTTTCATAGAGCTGTTTGCATGTTTCTGAAGCGTCCACTTTGCCTGAGAAGGACACTGTGGGCACGGTGGTGTTCAGGGAGTGCACGATGCGGTCGTCTATGTTTCGCATCACCCTCAGCACCTCCTGAGAAATCAAATCAAATCATGTTTGATTTATATAGCACATTTAAAAACGATTTTTGGTCAAGCCAAAAAGTGCTGTACATGCAATAAAAACACTTTACTGCGATAGCAAACAAAAGACAATAATTTACAACAGCAAAAGTAAAAAACAAAACACAGGGAAATGTCAGGTGTCGTACTCCGCTCTGACTAGAAGGCCAGGGAGAAGAAGTGTGTCTTCAGTGAGGATTTAAAAACCCCTAGGGTCTGGGCCGACCTCACATGGAGGGGCAGAGTGTTTTGAGAAACAGACAGCGGGGGAGGAGACAGAGTCAACAAATGACCTTCAAGGCAAGGATTTAAAGGTCACAAAAATGGTTTGCTGTCGTTTTAGTTATCAGAGCATAGTCTGATGTCTACAAACTAACTAAACTACATACAAAATCTGGCTTATAGTCGTCCAAGTATATTTTTGTGCAGTGTACTTCAGATTAAATATCAGAATAGGAACTGATGACTGTTTTTCAATCCGCTGATAGTTATAACCATGGCTGCAGCTAGAAATAATGTCTATAAGAGTCAGAAAAATAGTTCATCCCAGGTGCACAAAATCCAAATTGATGCCATTAAATGTATTCTTCTGTCGGTCAACATGTTCAGGTTAACATACTTTTTTTTTATCACACACCTCAAAGAGGATTCACACAGAAACACTGAAAGATATGGCACGCTGTGAACCCTACAGAGAAGTTACACAATATCTAAGATGTGCAAAACTTCTGCACAAAACAACAGTGTTTCAAACCTGTGCTCAGCCTTCACCCAAACATTTTGCAGCTTAAGAGCCCAACACGTAGGCCAGATGGATGTTAACACGTTTGAGGCGCCACAAATGACGGTTTAAGGACATTTGGGTTGGGTGAGTTATCTAAACCCGTGACAGAGATTTTAAACCACATGCTGTTTGTTTTCAATGATCTACTGTGGCTCCTTGAACTCTTCTCAGAGCAAACAGTGTTCACTCGTGCTCTGTCTGAAAGCTACGCAGAATTATAATCAAAAGCGGGTATGATTTACATCGTTACCGTGTCTTGTTAAGTTAACTCGTATGTATTAATGCTGTGTTTATTTACCTGAAACATTGAGAAGTCCTCACAGTTTAAAGTTCTAGCGGGCGCAGCCATGTTGGACTGCAGGGTCCTGAACACACACAGCGCGTTAGGGCTGTTCAAAGCAGTGCCTGAATAAAAATAAAACGTTTAATCAAATTAGATAAATATTATTTAAATATTTAAATTAGTTATCAACACAATAATACACAATAACAATAATACTTCAATTGTAATGGAAACATTGTTTTGTATATTTAAAAGCTATTTTAAGCAAGGGAAATATGTATTTTCTACTAGCTTAATTTTTTTTAAAGAAATGTTGGATAAATAAACATTGGATAAATAAAGTATATATATAAGTCTGTCTGTCTGTCTGTCTGTCTGTCTGTCTATCTGTGAAACAGTTATATAACTTGTGACCACATTTCCCCCATCGATTCCCCCTACTTTGACCTAAACTCACTTTAACCAGTCATATCTTAATTAAACAATAACCCTATTAAAGTAGGGTAGGTAATTCACTTCAGAAACACTTTTTGTTATATTCCATGGAATGCTCTTAACATCCCGATAGCAATGAATACATTAAATGCTTTGACAATAAATACATCAAAAATATTTCATCTGTGGAAGCTGTGGTGCTGTACAAAGCACAACCAATCATCTGCCTCGGCCAGCGGCAGATGATTGGATGGCCTACCTGCCTGTCAGCCTTCCATCTTGTGCACAAACTTATCTCGCCCTCATTGGTCATGTGCGCGTTCGTGTGTGTTGGAGGAGGGGCTCTGTAAGGAAGTCTGAAGGAAGGGGCAGATTTTTTTCGGATGTGTACTTCCAAACTCTAGCTTACTCAAGCTGGTTTCGCCATTCTTACCTACCCTACCTTTAAGATATAATTCAACCCACTAAAGTTAATCAATATTCCAGTGGGGGGCATGTTTTAATTAAAGATCTGTTTTGTTTTTTAGATCAGGCAAACACAGGCAGCTCATCTTATGTGATGGGTCCTTCTGGTGGTAGTGACTTTCAGCTTTTCAGTTTTCAGTTTCAGTTCTTATACATCCATGACTTTCTGACGGAGGACTGCTCCTAATTTACTCTAACAAAACACAACATGAATTTCGTCAGAACTCGCCTCTCTCTTGGCAACTTCATTGGTTCGTATTTTAACCTTTCTTTACGTGTTGTTTTTGGGCTGTAAAGTGTGTCTCTTCTCCCACTAATTCCAGTAAATGGTGGCTTTAAAGGTGTTTATATTGATAGTTGCTATGAACACGCCTCACTAAATTACTTTGACTTGGTAAACTGTGTTGTTTTAATATAATTATACGATACTTCTTCTATGGTTTGTCCTCCTGACACACCTCTGTCTTATTAAGAAAGTGCGTAATACACTGGCATTTCTGCTTTATTGTGCTCTCATTTCTTATTGGATATCTCGCGAGAACGTATTTCTTATGTTTGTAGAATGTGTTGTTTGCATGTGTTATTTTTGGTGTGATTAACCCTTGTGCCCTCCTCGAATTTTCAACCTTTCGACCCCTTCGTGGCAAAAATGTACACGCCCATAATAACTGCTACTAAATCATCATACATCAACATTTCTTTCTACTTTTTTTTTCATGAATCACTTAAACAACTTATAACATACTCAAAACTACCAAACATTCAATAATTTTCTGGATTTTAACCCTTTAAATGCCTGTTTAATTATTTGAATTATTTCATTATTTATGACAAAAAACACAAAAAATGAATTTTTTTCAATATAATAATTAGTAGAGGGATGGAACTTTGGTGGTTATTAGAGTCTTGGATGTGTCAAAGATTAGCAACAAAATTGATTTGACTGCATTATTATTTTTTACGTAGTATCAGATACTACCTCTGGACACCTTCGTGGCAAAAATGTACACGCCCATAATAACTGCTATTAAATCATCAAACATCAATATCTTTTTCAACTTTTTTTTTCATGAATCACATATACAACTTCTAACGTATTCAAAACTACCAAACTTTCAATCATTGGCAGGATTTTAACCCTTTAAATGCCTGTTTAATTATTTGAATTATTTCATTTTTCCTTACGAAAAAACACAAAACATAATTATTTTTCAATATAATAATTAGTAGAGGGATGGAACTTTGGTGGTTATTAGAGTCTTGGATGTGTCAAAGATTAGCAACAAAATTGATTTGACTGCATTATTATTTTTTACGTAGTATCAGATACTACCTCTGGACACCTTCGTGGCAAAAATGTACACGCCCATAATAACTTCTATTAAATCATCATACATCAATATTTTTTTCAACTTTTTTTTCATGAATCACATAAACAACTTCTAACGTACTCAAAACGACCATTTTCGGTTTTGATTTTAACCCTTTAAATGCCTGTTTCATTATTTTCATTATTTCATTTATCTCAAAAATGCCTCATTGACTTCCATTCAGACCACATTTGTTGATCTCACTGCCATTGCAGTATAAAACCATGCATTTTGTAATGTCAGCATTTCATTTAGAAGAAAAGTAGTGATATTTGATAGTTCTACTCTATTCCAACAGATTAAACCATTTTCCCACTGTAGGCCGATGCATTACATTCTTACATTTTTGCCAGTTATATTATGGAGCCGTGTGACTACCAGGGGGCCCCGAGAGTGGTGTGTGTGTGTGTGTGTGTGTGTGTGTGTATGTATATGTATGCGTGTGCGTGTGTGTGTGTGTGTGTGTATATGTGCGTGTGTGTGTGTGTGTGTCATTTCCAGCAGCAGACTAGCAGGTCCTGCAGCATGTGACCTGGTGCTCTCAGGTGATAGAACACATTTTTTTTAGGCCTGTGCACAACCAGCACACACCTCTCCTCCCTCTCCGTGTGTGTGTGTGTGTGTGTGTGTGTGTGTGTGTGTGAATCTGTAAGCATGCACAGATCATTTCATGGGAAAAAAAGGCCATCTTTTGAGGGATGTGTTTGATGTGTCTTTGAAGAGCTGCTTGATTACTCAAAAACAAAAAACAACTGTTAGTGTGTTTATGCACCTGGATGCCAAAGATAAACATGCAGTTTAACCAAGGGCTTATTTCATTAGTGAGCAGAGAAGGAGAAAGACCTGGAGCAAAGAGAAGGAACTCAAATGAAGAAGCATTTCAGTGCAGAGGAGACTTCAGAAATAATCTTGCAGCCTTCTTCTGCCAGCGAGCTGCAGGACTCATCTGAAGAAGACACAAGGTTCGAGGGGGGGTCTGACACTGAATGCTCTCTGGAGTCCAGCATTTCTTTGAGTTCCTCTGACCCTTCATCTGAAAGTGGAGAGGACACTGAGGGTCCGGCCCACAGTGAGGGGACAGAGAAGAACGGAGGTCGTTCTCCCAGGAGCTGGGGAAAACCAGGGTGTCCTCACAGATTGTGAGAAGAAAGCCCCCCGTGGTGGTGGATGGTGGGCCGGACCCTCAGTGTCCTCTCCACTTTCAGATGAAGGGTCAGAGGAACTCAAAGAAATGCTGGACTCCAGAGAGCATTCAGTGTCAGACCCCCCCTCGAACCTTGTGTCTTCTTCAGATGAGTCCTGCAGCTCGCTGGCAGAAGAAGGCTGCAAGATTATTTCTGAAGTCTCTTCTGCACTGAAATGCTTCTTCATTTGAGTTCCTTCTCTTTGCTCCAGGTCTTTCTCCTTCTCTGCTCACTAATGAAATAAGCCCTTGGTCAAACTGCATTTTTATCTTTGGCAGCCAGGTGCATAAACACACTAACAGTTGTTTTTTGTTTTTGAGTAATCAAGCAGCTCTTCAAAGACACATCAAACACATCCCTCAAAAGATGGCCTTTTTTTCCCATGAAATGATCTGTGCATGCTTACAGATTCTCACAGACACACACACAGACACACGGAGAGGGAGGAGAGGTGTGTGCTGGTTGTGCACAGGCCTAAAAAATTGTTGTTCTATCACCTGAGAGCACCAGGTCACATGCTGCAGGACCTGCTAGTCTGCTGCTGGAAATGACACACACACACACACGCACACGCACACGCATACATATACATACATACATACACACACACACCACTCTCGGGGCCCCCTGGTAGTCACACGGCTCCATAATATAACTGGCAAAAATGTAAGAATGTAATGCATCGGCCTACACGGAAACTTGTGTAATCTGTTGGAATAGAGTAGAAATATCAAATATCACTACTTTTCTTCGAAATGAAATGCTGACATTACAAAATGCATGGTTTTATACTGCAATGGCAGTGAGATCAACAAATGTGGTCTGAATGGAAGTCAATGAGGCATTTTTGAGAGAAATGAAATAATTAAAATAATTAAACAGGCATTTAAAGGATTAAAATCCTGACAATGATTGAATGTTTGGTAGTTTTGAGTACGTTAGAAGTTGTTTATGTGATTCATGAAAAAAAAGTAGAAAAAGATATTGATGTATGATGATTTAATAGCATTTATTATGGGCGTGTACATTTTTGCCACGAAGGTGTCCAGAGGTAGTATCTGACACTACGTAAAAATTAATAATGCAGTCAAATCAATTTTGTTGCTAATCTTTGACACATCCAAGACTCTAATAACCACCAAAGTTCCATCCCTCTACTAATTATTATATTGAAAGAAATTCATTTTTTGTGTTTTTTAAGAGAAATTAAATAATTCAAATAATGAAACAGGCATTTAAAGGGTTAAAATCCTGAAAATTATTGGATGTTTGGTAGTTTTGAGCACGTTAGAAGTTGTTCAAGTGATTAATGGAAAAAAAAGTTTAATAAAATATTGATGTATGATGATTTAATAGCAGTTTCTATGAGCGTGTACATTTTTGCCACGAAGGGGTCCAGAGGGTGCAAAATGCATCACGAGAGTATGCAAAACATGTAAGAGTAAACAACATTGGATTTAAAAAATATGACTCAAAAGAAGACTTCTTGTAAATATCCATGCCAAAAGCTGTAACACAGCTGAAATGAACACCAAATCCAAAAAAAAAGTCAGGAAAAATGTACAAAAATGCCCGAGGAGGGCACAAGGGTTAAACCAAGCCATCAGCTATTGTTTAAGCATTTTACCAAAGAAAATACACATATTTTGCAGTTCAAGCCTCTCGGATGTGATTTTTTTCTTATGAAAGAGTAAACGGAATATCATTGATTTTTGCCAGTTTAGTCAATTCAGTTGGGCTTTCTCCCTTGTTGTCTGACATTTGACATACTAAATGATAAAAAATAATACTCAGTTTAACCAATATTACATGGTTTAAGCCTTGTTATGATTCCTTGAAGTTTTCCTAATGTTTCTGTATATGTGAACAGGTCAGAGGTGCAGACAGGTCACTGAAACATGGAGCCACAGAGGGATGTGCAGTAAACCAGAGGTGGTCAAAGCAGAGCCTCCAGCAGCCCCAGCAGCCCCAGCAGCTCCAGCAGCCCCAGCACCAGGTACAATTTAGGATCATAAGCAGAAATATATACTATTCTGTTACCACCCACTATAATACAAATAACATGTAAATATGTTTGTGGAAAGAGAGTTAAAATTCCCCCCATGTTTTCCTATCTTGTGAGTGATTGTTGCTTCAGTAACACAAACACTACCCCCAGAGGAGTGTGTACATCACAGGACACTTGTTGCCGTACGAAGTGTGTGAAACTATTTCCTTTGTCCCAGAGGAAGGAGGAACACAGGAAGTGGGGTTACAATCCGGGGTGATGGAGCTAATCACTAGGGCTTGTGAAAGTGAACTGTAAAATGATGATTCTGCATGCTTGTTTTTCATTTTCTAACGTGCGTTTTCCTTCCAGTTGCTCGTGCCTCGTTCAGGGTCCCAGGCTACAAACCGTCGAATATGGACAAGAAGTTGCTTCTCTGGTCGGGACGCTTCAAGACAGAAGACCAGATACCAGAGATTGTGTCGTGAGTAGCTTCTTCCTGTTTACACCAGAGCTCCCAGCGCACTGATTGGCTCTCTGTAATTCAGTTAACATACATCACAAGAACAGAGCTCGCTGCAGAGGGTAGCTGATGTTCCCGAGATGAATGCCCTTTAAACAAGGCGTCTGTTTTTAGCTGGAGGTAATGACTGTGATTCTTAAGTCATGATAATCAGATAACATCAGATCTGCTGCTGTGATAGAAGTCCTGATTGTCACGTACACAAACTGCAGACCTCCCACCTCCTGCTCTCACAATAAACAGAGATTTGGTGTCATATGGACGCTGCTGAAAAGTATGATTAGCAGGTTATTGTTGATGGTATTGCAACGGAACATGCAGGATATGTAAACAAACCTGCATGTTCCGTTGCATGTGTTGTCTTTGATATTTGTTGTTTGTCCACCTGCCCGTGCCTCAGGTTTGAGATGCTGGATGCTGCCAGGAACAAAGTGAGAGTGAAAGCCTGCTACGTGATGGTGCTGGTCTCGATTGGGGCGTGTGTGATCACGGTGATCCTGGGCAAACGGGTGAGTGATAATGGACGACTGCTTTGTGGGCCCAATATGAGGGTATGATGGGACATGGGATCTTTGCTTTGGTTTTCAGACCAACAACAGACATGAAAATTAGACATTTTTAAAGATCCTATTTCTCATTTTTCTCAGGCTGCAGCCAGGAACGAGACTCTGACCGCCCAAAACATGGAGAAGAAAGCAAGATGGAGGGAGGAAATGCAGAGAGAGAAGGAAGCTGCTCTCGCCCTGTCTGAGAAGGCTCAGTAAAAGATCCCATGTCCCATCATACCCTCGTATTGGGCCCATAGTGTCCCCCTTATCCCTGTATTTATCACAACTTCAGAGCTCTCCACTCCCATCCTAAATAGCAGCCAACATAAATCACAGCAGTTGATATTTGTGATTCCTAACTTTTTTTAAGCCTTTGTGAGGTTTTATCTTCATGTTTTTGAAACGACTAACACATACTGTGGTGTTGTGATACATTTCAGACAAGAAATCTGTGAGACGCACCAATAACGTTACGCTTCTAGTAAGCTTTCTACATATACCTCGAAATCTCTCCAAAATAACTGCCTTCGTTTTGAAATTAGCCTCAAAGGCAACGGTCCGACTTGTGATGACAGTTCAGGGTTTAAATGGTGTTCTGTTTTTCTGTAAGAGAACGTCAAGAAGTGGATCAGGCATCTGAACGATGGTCCGTTCTGTTCTGGATCATGTGGGTTGTTCATGACTGATGCAGCATCTGTGTTTGTATAAAGTGAGCACTAAAAAAATATTAAATAAAGTATTTCTTGAGGATTCCTGTTTGATTGCATATCACTTTCATATGTTATGTTATCATGGCATCACATCACCCCAGTCCTCAAAGACCTTCACTGGCTTCCTGTCTCCCATCGCATCAACTACAAAATTCTGGTCCTCACCTACAAAGCACTCCACCAACTGGCCCCCCCCCATATCTCACACCCCTTATCAACCCCCCACGGTCCCTCAGATCCACCGCAGCCAGACTCCTATCCATTCCCACATCCACACTCTGCAGCTTTGGGGACAGAGCCTTCTCAGTGGCAGCTCCTAGGCTCTGGAATTCCCTCCGCCAAGATCTTCGTGACCGTGGCCGTTTCTCAATGTCGAGTAAAGCTGCTGCAGAGACACGATTTCAAGTATACTACGTCATCGAGTGGCGCCGAAGGACCGTTTAAATGCCCAGCATTCGGCGCCACTCGATGACGTAGTATACTTGAAATAGTGGCTCTGCAGCAGGTATACTCAACATTGAGAAACGGCCTCTGAGTCCCTCAGTCTTTCAGTCCCGCCTCAAAACCCATCTCTTCATCTCTGTCTACCCATAAGCCCCCTTCTCAATGAACTTCCTCTTGCCTTTTCTGTTTTTTTTTGCCTGTCCTTGTTTGTTTACCCTCCCTCATACTGTAGAGTTGAGTTGTAGAAAAGTATTATTATATGTAGACTTCAACTCTAAACTAGGGATGCCAGCGATTATTCGATTATTCGTTAGTCTCCATAATCGAATATTATTTTTAAAAATCGATTTTATTAATATATTTTTTTTATTAATATTTATGTTTTTCTTTTTTTTCCTGGTTTGGTTTCAACCAAAATATAGACTAATGCTAATAATAGTAATAGTATTAATAATTGTAAATGACCATTGATCACACCACCAGTTTGTTTTACTGTAAACTTGGAGGAAGCCAGCAGCGCAGAGTGCAGACTGCTGCTGCAGCCTGGTACACACCGACCCCGCCCCTCCCTCTCCCCTCCCCTCCCTCTCCGTCGTGGAAGGAGGCGGTTTCCTTGAGTTTATGGCAAGCGTGGAACCAGATTACAGGGTCCCGGGCCGTACTCTTATCAACTGTCTCAAAGGTGTCGATAACCACCGACGGGTGGACGGCACTCACAACTGAATCCTATGTTACCATAACCTGCCATTATATCGATAGTGAATGGGAGATGAAGAGTGCGGTTAATTTAGCTGAGGGGCTCCGCAGTGCTCTGTGCCCTCGGAAAGGGTTTTTTTCGGCGGCAGGACTAATCCTTAACCGGCTGCGCTCTCGCCTACACCCATACATACACACATAAAGTAGGCTATTTATTTAATTTATTTCAATGATGCTATTATTAATACTGTTCTACCTGAAGAGCCCTTTTGTACCATGTACACGTTCCAGTAAAAGAAAACAACGGAATACCATTCGTCAGTGTTTTTTTTTTCCTCCTCCCCGGGGGGGGGGGGGGGGGGGGGGAGATTAATCGATTAATAGTCGCCTGTCCGATCTTGGTCATGGTCAGTTTCTGGCATCCCTACTCTAAACCAAGTTATTTTTCACCTATTTTTGGACCAAGCTATCCCCGATGGAAAGACTCACCCTGCACACAGACTCCAATAACACTGAGGTTCATGAAACAGCTTTTATGCAAATGGCATAACAGGGGACAGTTGCACAAACTCAATACAACAAACAGTAATTAACATGTAGAGCTGGTCATCTCCTGCAGAGATTTGATAAAAGTAAGCAATGTTAGGAGGACTTGGTAAACAAACATTCAGCTTTGCTAACTAAGGTGATCTCCAGTATGTTTTTCATCTGGAGTTGTCATCAAATCATCTGGAAAAGTTCCTGTAGAATGAGGATTATGGCACCATCAGCAACATGACGGATGCTAAACCCAACTTAAACAAATAATAGCTTTTTCTTTAAAAGACTAATTTGAGACCCAATAGCTGGTATTGATGATTTGGCATGATCAAATTGGAAAATACTACCTGAACATGTGTTGGAAAGACATTTAGACTGCACAGCTAAACAGCCAATTTTCCAAGATTTACTTTGTTACAATATAGTTCTTCTAGCTTTGCCGAGGCAGCATGATCTACTGATTGTAATTAGTGTGCTAGGAGTTTTCAGTCCACGACGAGTCCTTTCTGTGGGAACAGTCAGCAAAGTACATTGTAATCCTTGTGAAACCAGAAGGGGACCGAGCATCCGGACTCCTTTACGCCTGAGGAGGGAAGAGCTGCGTCATCAACCAATGAAATAGTTAACGTAATAAAACAACGGTATATTCTCGAAGAGCAGGCGTCAGTCCAGAACTAAAGTGCTGCAAATGAAATGCAATTATGGTAAGATAATAAAAAATAAAATAAAATATCCCGCTGCTCTGCTGCTGGACAGATCCCGGGGTTAAATAGTCTGTTTTGTCCAAGTCTGTCTAAATGTCTCAGTGCGAGGGAAGACTCCAATTCCCATGAATCCACAGGGCTAATGACGTCACATGAAGTGGAAAGACCCACTACTGGATCAAAAGAATGCATGATGGTTTCCAAGAGGGAACGCAAGCAGCCAAACTCCGCCCCTCAGCGACAGTCAAGTTCCTAATTCCCTGTGGTGGCTTATCCAGAGGAGGCGAGGGAAAACACCTCATTTATGGCGTGTCTAAGTGCCTTTAGTAGAGGTCAGTTGAGTCCGTGGGTTGTACTGTGGGCAGCTCAGTCCAAAGACCACAGTCACATGTGGTCAACGCAGCTCAGTCCAAAGACCACAGTCACATGTGGTCAACGCAGCTCAGTCCAAAGACCACAGTCACATGTGGTCAACGTCTCATGGTCAGTCCAGTGTTTAGGTTACATCGTTCTTCTCCATGTGAGGAAGACGGAGTAAAAAAAATCACGTCCATGTTTGTCTGTCTTGTGAGTCATTAATGCTTCAATCAGACAAGCAGTGCAGTCCTACGAACTCCCACCGGGTCAGGAAGAGTGCTTTTCATTTAGGGGGGGAGCTGAGGGAATCCTAACAGTACGACAGGAGAGGGGGGGTGTTACGAGGACAATCAGCTGAGCAGGAAGGTGAGGGTGACGTGAGAATGAGTGAAACCTTCACAAACTGGCTGACAGGACTGCAGAACTCCACCCACATCAGACGTACTCGCACACGCTCCTGCAACGTCACATAATCATGGTTATGATTGGATCTCAGGAGGGGAGGGGAGGGGTCATCCAAACCCCTTGATCGTGGCAGTGGGCAGAGAGAGAGAGAGAGAGATGAGGATGGAGGTGGAGCACATGGGGAGGAAAGGGTTTTTAGCATTATAGCTGGAAGCCTTCCATGGGGGCCTCGCACTGCTGGAAGAGGAACTGCTGCTGCTGCAGGTCCACGGCCGGGGCCAGAGCCGGGTCCTCGTCCTCGGTGTTGAAGTAGCGCTCGATCAGGTCGAAGGCCTTCTGGTAGATCTCCTGGTTCTCGTGGCCCTGCAGGAACTCCAACTTGTCCAGGCCTGCGAAGAGGGAAGGATCAATTTACTGCAAGCTATTCAAATAAGTGTTCATTCATCAGGTTTGTCTGACTTCTGGTTTCCAGTGTCTCAAATGTCAGGTTTATATCCCTATAAATGGAACCTCTTTGAATGTGCTCGTGACGTCACTTTGGCTTCTGGGAAACTGCAGTAGCATTACAATTAAGGAATGCATAATGAATTAATAATACTAAATTCAATTGATTGCAATAATTGTACTTGTGTGCAGAGATGGGGTCGTTACTAAAAAAAAGTAACATATTACATATGACTTATTACTTTAAAAAAAAACTAATATATTACTTTACTTCGTTACTCTCTACATAAAGTAACGCGTTACTTTACTCGTTACTTTACTCGCAGGGCCGCCCCTCCCTACAGGCAGATCACGCAGACTGCGGAGGGTGCTTCATTTTGCGGAGGGGGCCTCATCTGAAGCGCAAATGCGGCGCACCTACAGTGCGTTACTTTACTCGACATCCTCACTCTGGATTCGGAGGTCCTCCTTAGCTATTAGCTTCACGTTAGCATGTTGTCTTTGCAGGTGCTTGTTGAGGTTTGACGTTGTGTTTGCAGCAGTGGATAAAAGCTTCCTGCCTGGACACAGTTTGCACCTCAGCGGCACATTCCTGTCCTTTCTTCGGACGAACTCAAAATAATGGACATACCTCCACCCCTCGCAAGTTATCGCTGTTGACTCAGCCATGTTTATGCACTGCACGTGGACGCGCAAGTCGCGCAAATGTTACGTAAATATAAACCTGCGGCGGAAATCCCTCTTGTCTGTCAAAGGGAGAATCTAGTAATTCTGTATCTTAGTAGGCTAGCTGTAGTGTGATTACTGAATTATAAAAGTAACGCGTTACATTACTCCTTTACCGACAAAAGTAATATTATTACACCCAACTCTGCTTGTGTGTGTATGGAGACTTACCGTAGGCCTCTTCGATGAGGGCACAATAGGGGTTGATGCCCCCCCCCCTCTTGGCCTCCAGCTCTCCCAGTCGCAGGATGTTCTCCAGGCCGTTGAGAGCCACCTGAACTATTTTGGAGTCCATGAGTGTGAGCAGGTCACAGAGAGGTTTTATACAGCCGAGATCCACAATGTGCCTACAGGGGGCAGTGCACACAAAGACACAGAATTACACTTGTATTCTGAGCTTACAATTTTCTTTTGCTCCACGATGAACACAAATCATATGCAGTAAACGACAAATATTGCATCAAAAGATCAAACTAAACTACAGTCAATGTACAGGCTAAAGAAGACTACTAAACTAATGTTATTACAAGTGTTTCCTTACCTAATTTGCTCTGCAGAGCCCCCTGAGGTGGCGTTGGTGATGGCCCAGGCTGCCTCCTTCCTTGTGCGAAACTCTGCGACCTGCAGGATGGTGATGAGAGGAGGCAGCAGGTCGGCATCCATCACCATCTAATGAGGGAAAGGACTTTATTAGAGGAGGGAATGCTCAACTTGCTGTGTTATTCCGTCAGACGCCACACAGAAGTCATTCAGAAGACTTCTTCTCCAAGGCAACGCACTTTTTTGAGGCGTCAGCAGGTGAAAAATCTTAAGACTGCAACTTTTTTTAAATACTTCTGAAAGGCTTTTTATTCATACTAAACCAGGTCACACACACACACACACACACACACACACACACACACACACACACACACACACACACACACACACACACACACACACACACACACACACACACACACACCACACACACACACACACACACACACACACACACACACACACACACACACACACACACACACACACACACACACACACACACACACACACACACACACACACACACACACACACACACACACACACACACACACACACACACACACACACACACACACACACACACACACACACACACACACACACACACACACACACACACACACACACCTGTATTTGTGCTCGGTTCCCTGCGGTGATGTTGGAGATGGTCCAGCACGCTTCCTTCTTGATGGACTCCTTGGGGCTGCTCAGGAGGTGCAGGAGGGACTGCAGCGCCGAACAGTTCAAAATCACCTAGACAATCGTAAATTACACACCAAGTTAAAACATGTTGTATCTATAAATATTGAATAAACTTCAACAGGGGTAGAATGACTTGATGTGTTATTACCTGTGTCTGCAGATCATCTCCTGTGACTATGTTCCCAACAGCTCTCAGTGCAGGAGATACCACCTTATAGTCAGAGTGCCTGGAACAAAGCAGGATTGTAATTTGGATCAGATTCAGAAATTCAAAACTGATACTTTACGACCTGTTTTCCCCACATGATAGTAGTAATAAATGTAGAACTACAGTACTACAGTGTGTCCTCTCCTGACCTTTGCAGTTTCTCACAGCTGGTAATGCATTAGTGAAACTCAAATACTGTGTGGGAACATTCACACACACCTACATCTGGACTGTCACACCCACTGTAGCCGTGAAGATGTGTTTAAATACTCACAGCAGTAGCTCCACCAGCCTGCGACAGACTCCTGAGTCAATAACAGCCTGGATTTTGTCGTTGGGGCCGTCAGATAGGTAGGAGAGTGCCCAGCATGCATCAGCCAGGATGTCTGTGTCATTGACGAACAGCAGCCAGGACAGCACACTGAGACACGGGGACACCTGGGGGAAAGAGAGACATAGTGGGAGGGTTAAAAAGGGATTTAAACTGCCTACAGCGTGTGATATGATATACTTTAGCAATGTGAGAGGTTGCTATAGCGATGTGTTTATCTTGGCAAATTACCTTAGCGAAGTCCGGAGGTGGGTTTTTTCCTCTGCACAGGTTTGAGAGCGCCCACACTGCATTCCTCATCATTGTTAGACGGTTCTGTTTGGCCAATAACCTGCAGAGGGAGAGTGTCTCACGGGGTCAAAATCACTCTGTACTTTCCAGTGTGATAACGAGGTGAGGACGACATCGTGTTGCTACTTACTGCACCAGGGAAGGCAGGATGTTGCAGTCTATGACAAAGTCTCTGCATTCTGTGCTGTCTCCTGCTATGTTTCCCAAGGCCCACACTGCCTGCAACACACACATCAGGTCAGTCAATAGGGTTATCAAACAAGGAGGGTTCAATAAATACATGTTGTCATACACTATACTTCAGTAAGTTAAAGACAAGGAATGTAATGAGAGAAGTTTAAGTGATAAAAAACCATATATGTACTGCTTATTTCATACAAGAAATGCAGCGAAAAATACTTAGAATTAACATAAATGCCAGGATATAATGCCATGATTAATGGAAAATAAGATTGAAAATGAAACTCATATACAAAATAAGTTTATAAGAAAGAATACATTACATAAGATTGAAAATGATTGTGTGGAAGTTTGGGGGAACACATATAAAACAAATACACACCCTATCTTCATCCTGCAAAAAAGAGCCATACGAGTTATACATAAAACGACGTACAGAGAACCAACAAATACATTATTTATCAAACTACAAGACCTGGTTGACTATAAAACTATTCAAATTATGTTCAAAGCCGCAAATCAACAATTACCTCATAATATCCAGGGACTTTTCACACGCAGAGAAAACATACACATGTTGAGAGGAAACTGCATTTTCAAAAAACCACCCGTACGAACAAATGCCAAACTTCATTGCATCTCATCAAAAGGTGTTAGTCTGTGGAATAACTGTACTGATGCACTGACATATTGTACAAGTCTATTTAACTTGGCTATTCTATTGGCTACTACATGAGATCGAATGCTGTGGTTTTATTAAATGTGCCAACTGCTAGGACTGTCTTAGGGGAGATAGCATTTAGATGCGCAGCTCCACTGTCCTGGAATAGTCTGCAATTGAAATGGAAACTGAGCAATCTGGTGCCACTAAATGTTTTTAAAGCTCGGTTGGATGCTACTGAATCGGAAGCTGTTGGTACCTGTTCATGTGGATAGTTATGTAAATTGTAATCCCTGTAATGATGCTGTATGATGTCCTTTTGTTGTTCTGTTTATGTTTTTAATGTTTCATGTGGAACCTACTTGAGCAGGTCTCCCTTGAAAAAGAGATCAATGATCTCAATGGGATACAACCTGGATAAATAAAGGTTTGAAATTAAATGAAATTAAACTGAAAGTAATTTATTTCTGATTGTTTTGTAAAAAACTAAAAGCAAACAAACAAATTAACAAGACAAACATGTCGCTGATGACGATGACCTAATCTTTTATTTATAAGGAAAATGTATGCTAGAGGGGGTAGGACCAGAAACATGCCCCTGTTGAACATGACAGAGACTATTTGAGAATTTATTTTTATTTTATTTTTTTATTATTTTGTTGTACTTTGTTATAATTATTATTATGAGTGAGAAGAAAAAAAAAAGGAATATATATATTATTATTATTATTATTGTATGTTTTGTTTCTGACATGTTCAATAAATTGATTAAAAAAATAAATAAAACCTATTTAATTCTAATAAAATGACTACTCATATTTGCTGCATGCATATATATATCAATAAACACTGCAGCGTCATCAACATGTCTCCATCTCTTCTACTTTGTAGTGTTCTTTTCTACATCTGACTGCCAGCTGGAAGTGATTGCAAGAACAAACACCCGTACTTAGGATCCCTCCCTACCTGTTCCTGTACGTCTTCGAAATCCGAGCTGAGCATCTCTATGAAAATGGGCACAGCTCCTGCCTGGATCACCACCCGAGTCTGATGGGATGTCCCCGATGCGATGTTAGTCAACACCCACGCAGCCTCAAACTGAAACATAATCAGAATATATAACATTTATTACATGTTTATCACTGTGGTTATTTTTGAATTGCTGAATGTTATCCCCCCCCTGCACAACACAAACATAATCAAAATCTCCCCAGCTTGATTGAAGTTGTGCACACCTGCAGACTGTGGAAATGTACCTGAAGTGTACAGTTTTCTTTCCTCTTCAGGAACTCAACAAAGCGCTCCACCACGCCTGAAGTGGCGATGACTTCATCGATGGGTGGGTTGGGTTCTGTGTGAGACAATTTTCAGAAAATGAGTATAGCAATTATCAAAGCATTATCCTGAAATCAATGCATTAAAACAGATGAAGTTTTACCTTTAGAAAGCAGTTTCCTAAAGCGCTGAGTGCCTATTAGCTGCTGCTCAGGACTACTGGAGAAGATCATCTGAGTCATGTCTTCAGAGATCACTCCACCCTGTACGGATCAGGAATGGAAATGAGATGAAACACAATGTTGTCTCCATATGTGTTGGGAATGACGGTGTTGTGCCAAATTATGCACCCCCGTCGTGAAATGCACCCCTTGACACGGGAACGCGCATTTGAACGTATAGTCCGCTATTCTATGTTGTCTTTTTGATGGTTGGATTTTGCATTCATTCGTCACTTATTTTTCAGTTAATTTTTTATTTAATATATGTTTTTATTTAATTGTGACGTCCTGTCTGTATACTTGTACTTGTGCTTTACAAATTATTGTTTATTTTTACATCAAGTGCTTGAGGGTGGGATTAATAGAAACATTTTTATTTTGGGGGGGTGCTTTTTATGAACAGCCTGGTTGCCACGATATGCACCCCTTGCTATCTCTGACAATAAACGTGTCACATACATGAAACTTACTCCATTTATTGGTACTAGTCCTACAACTATACCCTCCAAAGTGCTTGAGGGTGGGATTAATAGAAGCATCTTTTTTGGGGGGGTGCATTTCACGACAGGGGTGCATAATTTGACACAACAACGGCACTGAATGCACATGGATAGCAGGATTTTTTTCTTACCGTGTTTGGATCCATGTTGTTAGCCTGGGACTCCAGGTAGCCGCTATCGGCCATCCCATCCTCCTCGGGGAGGCCGTCATCCTCCACTGTGGCAACATTCCTCCTCTTAAAGAGCTATAAAGATTCAAAGAAAAATATTTGTTCAGTATACTGCATCATCAATATTACACTGATAGGAACAGCATGGGATCAAGTGTACTCGCTGACATGAGCAACACTGGCAGTGCAATCATTAAGTCTGTTTGACCTACCTGGAGGATAATTCCACCTACACAATAATACATATGCCCACTGTGTTCACCTGTTCATCCTTCTTCTGTTTCCGAAGCTGTAGGCCTTCCTCTTCCCTCCTTCTTCTCATTTCATCTGTGTTGAGGGACTTGTTCTTGTAGCTCTTGAGTCGTGCATTGTCCTTACCCTGACTCATTGTGTAGCCTGGAGAGATGCAGAAATACATGTTATTTAGACAGACTTAGGTAAGATTTGGAGAACATTTTTGTAAACTTCCTGATCTGAATATGAATCTTGAACTGATAGATGGCCAAATCCTCTTTTAAATCACCAACAAAATAACTTGCAATATTTGTTGGCACTATTTTATCTATATTCTGTTTGTTTTTGCACACTTTGAATTGTTTATGTCTGATATATATTTATGTTGCATCGTTGAAGGGGCCTGGGGCTTTTGCAAAAACTACACTTTAGCTTCTGTGCATATGACAACAAAACCTTTGAATCTTGAAACAATGCAAGCATATATCATGTATGTTTAGGCATTAGAGTTGTCTGTATGGCACATCCCACCAGTTTCCGCATGTGTCATTTATAGGAATCGTCAAAAACAATCAGTAAATCATGTAAAACTACGGTGCATCATCCTCAGAAAACAGTTCAACAAACCGGGGCATCTGAGGATACTAGCTAGCTAGCTGGTTAGCTTTATTGACACTGCGTGGTTAATAAGCAACAAAACCTATAATCATCTAATGACTGGGTGTGCTGCTTCCCTGTATCGATTCACAAGCTAGCAAAGCCCGAATAAATATTAAATTATTGAAGCAAAGGTACACGGGAGCAATTTGTCAGATAGCTAATGTCATAGCCGTTTTTAACACAATACACTCCAACCGTTGAAGCAGATTTGGAATGACCGTAGTGGCCAACAGTGGTACTAAAACTCAAGTGACGTCATTTTGGCACAAAAATACTTTTTCCTCATTGTCTTTTTATAAACATGTTTGAACTAAAAGGTGATCTGAGAAGTAATTTAAGACAAAATACCCTGTAATCTCTCTATTTATTTGACTGAGCCTAGAGCAGGAGACGGGGCTTAGGTAAACCTCCAGTGCGCATGCTCAATGGGCCCACATACGGGTACTTTCCGACTCCTCCAGCCGCTCCTTTTTTTGGCTTCAAGCGCCACTGAGAAACTCTCATAGGAATGAACGGAGTTTCCATGAATTCACTGCAGAAAAATAGCTAGCTAACAGTGGCTAACTGAATTAGCTCTGACATGTAACATTATCTCAAGCGACAAGCACAACGTTATTCAAATGTTGCCGACAGAAATAATGAAACAGCTTCTTATTATAAGGCTAAAACATACGAAGAGTCATCAATACATGTAATTATTATCAACTGACCTGTCAAATTGGGCTCTATAATCCACTTATTATTCGCTAGGCCACCGTTTGTACAGCCGTCGCCGGTATGACACTGCGCATGCGCGATGTCAAACTATCCCCCCCTCCGCATTTCCCCCCTCCGTCCCACCTACGCGATGCTTTGTAAATGGTTAGAAATTGAGCCTTTACTTCGTGCAACTTGCTGAACATGTGTAATACACAGTTAACAGACACCATGCATGGTTGGGTGCAGACTTAATTCCATGGTGAAAATACGCACAGCACATAAGCAGCTGCAGGGATTAAACACAGACTTTCAGGACTACTTCAAGAGGTCTGCATACATGCGTCAGCGTCGGCCTCTCAGTTGTATGAAGGAGAGTGTTGTAAATGAACCTCTAACAATGTTTCTGTGTCTGAAGTGGGCCTGACAGCGGCGATCAGTGAGCCATCAGTGGGCCATCAGTGGGCCATTATGATCACTTGCACCTGCATGACAGGCAGAAAAAAACAATAATATTTCTAATTAATTATTATCCTTGCTTATGGTATCATCTTAGAGCCTTGGATGATCTTGAAAACATTGACCAACATATTCACAACATACCTATGGGCCTAATAGACGTAAAAACACACCCGTAAAACAGGAAAGAAGTAAGGAAAATAATATAAAACCAAAATAATAATAATGAAAGATAATAAAAACGATAGTAGCTAATAACAGGCTAATCATAATAACAACAGAAATATAAAAACAAAACACAGGGAAATGTCAGGTGTGTACTCAGCTCTGACTAGAAAGCCAGAGAGAAGAAGTGGGTCTTCAGTGAGGATTTAAAAACCTAGGGTCTGGGCCGACCTCACTCTGATCTCGATTGCTAATATCTTGTCCCCCCAACACACACACCAGACACACAAACACTTACCCCAAACTTAAAAGACATAGTCAATATGTAAACAAATATATATTACTGAAACTGTGATCGTTATAAAAGTAATTTAAATGATGAACAGAGAGAAACTGTGAGTGTCTGAACTCTGCCTGACCCCTCAGCAGGTGCACCAATTAAAGCCATCAGAAATGAACTTGAAAGACTGCACCGCAGACACCCTGGCGCCACCTTACAGCATCCAAACATTGTTGCACTTTAAAGACCTGTATAAATACGACTCCAGCACACTGCATATTTTCCCCAAAAATGACAACAATGCAACAACAGGACCAGAGCCGCTTCGACATGTGGCATGACTACATGAACCTTGGCAGAGTACTGGAGAGGCTGCGGGACAGCACCCGGGATGATGGGGGACTCACACACACCAAGGGCCCCGAGAAGGAAGCAGCATCCTCCTGGAGCCTCGTCCGAAACACCTCCCGGAGAGGGGAGCGTAACAACTCGGAGTCCGGCTCAGTGAGCAGCCAGTCGGACACCAGCTGCAGCACCGGGACCCCCCCTGGATGCTGCCGCTTCTGTAAGCAGAACGGAGAGTCTGTGACGGTGTACCGGTCCCACAGGCTGAAATCAGACGAAGGGAAAGTGATCTGCCCCATCCTCTGGAGCTACATCTGCCCCCTCTGTGGAGCCAGCGGGGACCAGGCGCACACACGCCGCTACTGCCCGCAGAGAGAGGCGGGAGGGGCGGCCAGGATGCTGCCGGTTCTAGAGACAGAAGACACGATGTATATTTAAACATATTTATGAGTTCCATGTTTGCAGAGACTGGTGGAGGTTCCTAACAAGTTTGAAGTTACGTTTTTTCTATTGTCATCTTTTTCAGCGTTGATTTGCAGACATTTAAAAAACTGCAAAGAGCTGTTTTTGTATGTAGCTATTAGTTTATAAAGTGTAAAAATAGTTATCAAACCTTGGACAAGTGTCAGTTACAGGAATTTAAAAACTGCAAAACTAAAGCTTTTTGATTTATATTATGCTTCCTAGTTTTTTTTAAAGTTTTTGAAGAACTATACAGAAATATTTCAAATCAACATTTGATTGACCAAACATGTCCATGTGTTCATGTTCACAAAGGAAGTGTTTGACGTTGCTGTTTTTAAAATGATGAGTGTGATTGTCAACACACTTTTAAGGGTTGAAAAAGTGTTATCAAAACTTGAGAAAAAGTGTAAATCATAGACTTTTTAAAACTGTTTGTTTGTTTACATTTTTAAGGAATAAATATGGGAAAAGGTACCTGCTTGTTGTTTTTGTTAAAAGTGTTATCAAAACTGTGCATGGTTGTTCAGCTAAATATTGAATTGCTGTTGACATACATGGATAAAAAGCTACAGACAAATTTCAAAAGTAAATATGCAAATACTATATAGCTTCAATAGACACAATAAATGAATGTGAACTTGACCGATGATCACATGCACCTGCAGGGATGACAGGCAGAACAAAACCATCATATTTCTAATCAATTCTTCTTCCGGTATCATCTTAGAGCCGTGCATGATCTTGAACACATTGACCAACATTCACAACAGACAGATGGGCCTCATAGACGTTAAAACACACAGAGGTGAAACAGGAAAGAAGTAAAATAATAATGAGAGATCATAAAAACGATAGTAGCTAATCATAATAACAATAGTAATGATACTACTATAAATCACAGCTTTCTCTTTTCTTGAAAACGATTGCTTCCAATATGTAAATGGTAAAGGAATATAAGGGGAGATAATAATACAAAAATAGTTTTAGCTTTTCCACACTGCACAGTTTCTCTCTGTTCATCATCTATAGGACTTTTATAATGATCACAGTTTCAGTAATAGATATTTTTTGGATAATTTTGAATTACTATTAGATCTGGCCCGCCGGTATATTGCACGCACACCTTCACTCAATCCTGAGGGTTTCCTCCGCTCAGAGCCTGAGCCCAAACATTGATGTTTATGTTTATTATGTTGCATTGTTGGAGAAGCCTGTGACATAAGATTTTCAACTACATAATTACTCTGTAGCTATGTCAGATTGACAATAAAGAACCTTGAACCTTGAACCTTGAACCTTGAACTTGCCAAGATGAGATGCCAAGTATCTGGGTTGAACTAGCATCACAGAGCAGCACACTGAGTTTACATGGATGTTTCCTTCTGCACTTTCTTTCTTGATTTTTTTTTTAACACAGATATGCCATTTAAGTTTGGAGTATCAATCGAGGTCAGAGAGTGTCTGAACTCTGCCTGACCCCTCAGCAGGTGCATCAATCAAAAGCCGTCAGAAATGAACTTAACTTGTGCTCCTGAGATGAAAGAACCCCCCCCCCCCAGACAGACCTGCACCGACCTTACAGCATCCAAACATTGTTACACTTTAAAGACCTGTATACATATGGCTCCAGCACACTCTGCGTATTTTCCCCCCAGGACCAGCACTTTTTAAGCCTTGAAAATGTTATCAAACCTTGCAAAAAGTGTCAATTACAGGCATTTTATTTGTGAAATTGTGGTTTAAAAAAGTAAACTAGACATATTTTCAAATCAAAATATGCAAATATAGCTTTACTAGTCACTATAAATACATTGAATTGAGGTCAGATGTAATATACAGTTGGATAACGTCTCTAAAACTGAAAGCAAGTCATCGTTTCATAACTCCATAATTCATTATAATAAAAGAGCATACTCTGATCTCACCTGCTGCTTTGATAAGGCCATAAAATGCTGTTACTAAACCATATGAACGATGACTCCTCCTATACAGAGGGAGTTATATCACTGACCTTATTATAATGATGCTTAATCAGGGTTCATACACTTTTTCACCAATGATTTTCAATGACTTCTCCATGACCTTTACCTAATTTTCCATGACCAAAAAAATTACTCTTTCTCAGCGGTACCACTGAAAATTGTTTATTTTAACCTGGAACAGGAAAATAAGGTCTGCATATGAAACATGTTGTGATCTAAAACAAATCAAATAGGCGGCTTACTAGCTTCTACTAAAATCTCTCACCAGCAAAACACCTTGTCAGTTAAATGCCATTTTACATTTCATTACTATACGACACAGTATGTATTATCATTATAGTATTACTATTTCAGCGATTAGATAAAATATAAATTATATTTGATGCAACTTTAGTTACATTTCCATGACTTTTCCAAAACCTTGGGAAAAATATTGTTTTCCATAACTTTTCCAGGGCCTGGTATTTGCATTTAGAATTTCCATGACTTTTCCAGGTTTTTAATGACCGTAAGAACCCTGTTAATGTCAAATGAATTACAATGTTGAGGAACAGGTTGTTTTACAGTCTTCATACACAGAATCCTAAACTGTGATGCAGCTAAAATTAAATTAAATATACAATTTGCTATTAAAAGTACCTAAAAAATACCTCCAAAGTACCTTGAATACAACACTTGAGCACATGTATTAAGTTCATTTCCACTGTTGACAACATATATAGAGAAGCACCAGCCCATAACTTGAGAAATGAAGGTAATATGTAATGAAAACAGTCGGGATGACTAATGTCTGAAGGATCTGAATGCCTCCTATGATGCATTTTTTCTCCAGCAGAAGAAAGTTAGCTCATTGGCTGTTCATAAAAGACCTGGCCACACCTGCCGGCTCACAAAGCGATGTGATTGGCTGATAGCACCTGTTACCAAACACTACTACACAGGATCAAAGTCCAGCTTTCATAATTCAGTTATGAAGCAGAGTCATCAATCCAAGGTCAGGTCTTTTATCTTTTCATTCATCTACAGATCAAAATATCCATTCACAAAGAACACAATAAAAAGTAAATGCCAGGTGAGGTGAGTTTCAAACACGTGCTGACAGGCAATACAAGGCTCAGTGTTGCACAAGGAGCTCCTTTTAACGCCAGGAAAGCCCCTCCTCGACAGCAGTCTTTGACTTTCTGCCATCAAAGAACAACATAAACAGTAGGTGAAAAGCTTCTTTATTCAACAGATTTTAAATCTAAACCTTGTTCTTTACGGTTTAAAGTGTGTTTTATTAATACTATTTTATCTTAGTTTTAGATAACTTGTCCAAAAATGGCCAAACACAGCATCATCCGTGTGATTGCCATAGTGCTCTCACTGATATTCTTCATCATCACCATGGTGTTCACTGCTTTGGCAGGACCAGGAATAGGTACGTTTTAATGCTTTCATTATATATATTATTTTGTGAGATAAGGTTTGTTTGTTTAATGTAGAAATGTTGAAGTAATGCTGCATCCTTTGACTTTTTCAATGAGTCAAAATAACTTAATTTTCTACCTTTTTTTCGCTCAAAGATCCCTTTTTGGAGAGCACCAAGAACATCTCAGATGCGTTTGTGACGGAGATCACTCCGGACGGATGGACGTTCACCATTTGGGCCATCATTTACATCTTCCTGGCTTTAGTGATGGTCTACGTCATCTCCGGCATCTTTAGGAAGTAGGAACCCGCCTATTTTTAGCTGGTTTAATTGTATGTTTTTACCAACACTTACCATGTGATTCTGTCTTCAGGAATGCATACGGTCCGGTGTACTGCAGCCCGGCCGTTCTGCCTCATGGATTCTTCGTGACTTGGTGTTTGAACCTGACCTTAAACATTGCATGGTTGTTCCTGTGGGACAGAAAGTAAGATTTCATTATTTACTTCTACTGAAATCAATCAGCAAATGAGAAACCCTAAATTACAGGCAATATGTATGACTGCATGTATGTGACTGCATGTATGTGAATGAAGGAGAGGCTTATAGGTCATAGGGTCAAATACAGGTCATCACCTACAATCAATAAGCTCATAAGGCATGATTAGTGCACACATTGAGTGACAGAGTGCATGAACTGAATATTACAGACATCCAGCTACTTTAAAGAGTGTGTCTCATTCTGATATTACATATTCAAATGTTGCTTTTTATATTTTCGTCTATTCTGGGAGTTATTTCTTGTTTGAACCAAGGGTGCCATAAGCAGTAAAACCCTAAAAGGGAAATGTGTGATGTGTGATTCAGGAATATGAGTAGATTTATAGTTATATATGTGTAAAAAAGGAGGATATTATACAAGAAACATGTGAATAGTTGCCGATTGGACAGGATTACACAAATGCATAAATGCAACAACAACTGTTAACATATCCTTTTTTCTATCTTCCATCCCTATCAAAGGTTGATGTCTGCTGCGCTTGCCTTCCTCATCCTCATCGCCCTCACTAACTACCTCATGATATTCTTCTCCTGCATCGGTCTCAACAACTACGGAGCGTGGCTGGCAAAGTACCACAAAGTGGACCTGTGGCTTCACCGAGTGGTGGTGAGTCCAGCAGCTGTTCACCTCTCAGACACATCTTGCAGTGTCAGCTCTGCATGCTGAGTGTGTTCTGTTTCTCTGCCGCAGGTTCAGAATGGGATCGCCATATACGCAACATGGACCACCATAGCATCGCTGGTGAACCTGACCATCGTGCTGACTGCAGACGCTAAGATATCCACGACGAACGCTGCCACCATCTCACTCTCTGTCCTCACTGTGGTGCTGTTGGTGTGGTGAGTGCAAAGTGGTGGACACAGTACTCATATTATTGTAAATATCCAATCGATCCAGCGTCCTCTAAAACTTCCAAATCTACAACAAATATCATTCAAATGGGCCTCCCAGGTTCACATTTTGGCTCCTGAAGATGTCAGAAATTGATTAAGCATCCTTATTAATCTGAATGGTTCAAAGGTACTCAAGTTATCAAATCAATTTAGTGGAATTCAACATTTGCTCTGAAGTGTAAATACTTAAGTAAAGAAACACCACTGCCTTTACTAAGTTAAAAATGTGTTGTGTTTCTTGCAGGACTGTCCTTGAAAACACCATCCTGGATAAACACGTGAGGTACATCCTGTCCATCTACCCCGCGGTGATCTGGGCGCTGACCGGAGTGTTCTCCAAGAACTACAACGCTGCAGACCCTTCACGAAACAACACCTTCATCGGTGAGGAACACAGTTACACAGACAATGTGCACACTCATGTATATGTACTTATGTATATATAATAACTTGTACATTTGTAATTCAACATGTATATTATTTTCTACTTTCTTGTTTATTTCTACTGGTTTTCTTTGAATGTTTATTGTACAATGCCGTGTCTTTTTATGCTGCTGCAACACAAAAAAGTACTTCTTATCTTATCTTGTCTTATTTCTGCTTCGCTCTGATATTGTTATATATTCTCTTTGCGCTGTAGTCGTGCTGTTGGCTTTGGCCTGCACGATATTTGCAGGTCGGATAGGTCTGGTGGTCTGGAGACACATCAAGACGCCCCTCTATGAGCACATCAGCCCGGAGAGCATGACTCCAATGGAGATCGCTGACAAGCAGAAACATATATTTAAATAAGAGGTTCTGATAAACCTGTGTGTATCGATGCAGTATTGTCTCTGGATGAGGTGTATTTTCTTAATGCTTTGTATATATTGTAATCTATGACTGTTTTGCACTGCTGCAACATATATAATGAAGCTTCTTATAATAAGGGAAATTATATAATACTGAAGACCAATCCAACCTGTCGACACATTTTGTACTCCATGTTCTAAAGACAGGCTTAATTTATTATTCATTTTACATCTAAGCATGTAGTTCATTTATCAAAAAGGGTATAATGTTTGTGTTTCCTCATGCATTTTGACTTGTATTTTGTATACTGTTAAAAATAAATATTGCTTTCTCAAATTGTTACGCTTTTGTGTGATTTTTCTGGTTTATAAGAGATAAGAAATACTACAACTGTTCAAATAAACAGCACAATTATTTACTTATTAAATTGTGAATTTTCCTCAATCAATCAATCAATGTTTATTTATATAGCCCAACATCACAAATGTTACATTTGTCTCAGTGGACTTCACAGTTTGTACAGAATATCAGTATGACAATACGACACCCTCTGTCCTTAGACCCTCTGTCCTTAGACCCTCTGTCCTTAGACCCTTAGACCCTCTGTCCTTAGACCCTTAGACCCTCTGTCCTTAGACCCTCACATCGTACAAGGAAACACTTCCAGAGAAACCCCACAGTTTAAAGGGGAACATGGGAGAAACCTCAGGGAGAGCAACAGAGGAGGGATCCCTCTCCCAGGACGGACAGACGTGCAATAGATGCCGTGTGTAAATTCGAAAAGATAATACATTTTACAGCGTATAGGTAGACCAAATGTTTGGAAATGCATGTGTCTATAATAAGAAGATGAATCCACGAGGATGTCAACAATCCTGTGGGAGCCATCAGGGAAGTAGTATGATGAGAGTCAGGCAGGACCACAGTGACAGGTTCAGCCACGACTCGAAGTCCAGGACTCAGATCAGGACTCAGATCAGGACTCAGATCAGGACTCAGGACTCAGATCAGGACTCAGGACTCAGGATCAGCCACGACTCAGGATCCCAGCGTAGATAGACACCAAAAAGACATTTGGGGGAAGCTGGGTTATTCTGAATAATATTCGGGGGGGGTACAGTGGGTGGTCATTGAAAATGTGTTCTGATATATGTTCTTCACAGAAAATGAGCCAAGGCCATTGAGTGTGGGTTTGAAAAAATAATTTATCATATCATTTTTCTCATTGACTCAGTAGTGCACACAATATAAATGTCCTCAACATTGATGAATTACAACTCTATATGTATCTGGCAGGGATAAAAACAGGATATTATAATATTCCATAATGAAATAACACTTTTAAAAGAGCCATTCTTCACGATGAGTACTTTTGCTTTTGATACTCGAGTACATTTGTCTCTTATAATACTTCAATACTTTTAATTAAGTGACCTTTTACACTCAGGACTTTTAACAGAGCTTGTTCAGAATGTGGTATTATTACTTTGACGTAAGTAAAGGAGTACTTTTTCCAAAACAGCATGTTGCAAAGCTTTATTAAAGGGGTGTTCCCTTTCAAATCCATACTCACATCTCACCTGACAACACGACCAGATCTTTAGACTTTCATATCCCAGAAAATGTATTTTTATTTAACCAGATAAAAACATTGAGATACAATCTAATTCACAATGCTGACCTGGCCAAGAGTTTACGCCAGGGGTGTCAAACTCAATTTCATCGCGGGCCACATTAGCATTATGGTTGCACTCAAAGGGCCGGTTGTAACTATATAAATATACATATATAAATATATAATATATATATAAAATAATGTATTATATTACATTATTGCCTCTGAATTGGATTATTATTGGACAGGGTAATAACTTCGTAATTAACTACGTCTGAAAGCAGAAGTCCAGGGCAAATAATTGCAAGTCTCTTCAGTGCGCATGTCACAAAATGTTTAAAAAAGAAATCTGGAAAAAATGTGAAAATGTAAAAAAATGTGAAAATGTAAAAAAATGTGAAATTTGGAAGAAAAAAGTCCAATTCCGAACAAAATTCATATTTGAGATGCATTGTGGGACATGTAGTTTATGGACAACGTGCTTCCGTAAAGTGGCATGTAACCGTATAATAAACGTATTATAATCTTTGGAAGCTGCGGGGCCACAGAAAATGAAGTCGCGGGCCGGTTTTGGCCCCCGGACCTTGAGTTTGACACCCCTGGTCTACGCTGACTATTGTCATGCCCTTTATATATGACAAATATGCTTATGACATTAATAGATTTTCATTAATTATAAACGACCTTACACAGAGTGTCTACACTGTCGTTAATGATAGTGTCACCTATAAGCATTTTTAGTCCTTTATTATTTACCGCACTGGGGCAGAATACAAATATATGTATATGTGTATGTATATAAGATAAGAGGAGCACGTGTTTACGAGTGGTCGTAAAAACCTCGCTCTTACACAACGAGCAAATATATAAAAAGCCAGCCGTGCGTCCTCAGGTACTTCTTCACACACCAAGAGAGCGGCCCAGAAAGGTACGTCGTGTTTGCTTTTAGAAAGTCTTCATTGTACTGGCTGTGTTGGTTTGGGTTCATTATGAAGGAGGAAGCTCAGCGTGAAGAAGTGGACCTTTCTGAAGTTATGAGAGTGCTTTCAATTTGAATTTTGAGAAGGATTTTGCTTTGAATGACAGGATTTTTGAAAGAAAAGACAGCTAGTGATTTAAGAGGATGGTACAACTTGGTTTAATTGCCTGAATGGCTGTCAAGGTGATTGATAACTATCACTAGCAAAGGTCAGAGGTCAGCCCTATCACCTGTGCAGTCAGAAGGTATTACATATCTTCCTAAAGGTCACATTTCTTTGACTTTATTCAGTATAAAACAGTAGGATGTGACACCTGTATTAAATACTGTATGTGTAATGTAATCTTCCCTTTCAATATGAGATGTATGTGGTTAATTACACATTTTAAGCTCTAAAAAGTGTTCATTTATTTTCAAATAATTGTCATTTATCACAGTCGACCACAATGGGAAAGCATAATCCTGGCCGTCTCGCTGCCATAGTGGTGTCTGTTGTCAGCTTTGCAATCAGTTTGGTGTTCAACGGGCTGTCTGTAGTCGGAGTCGGTAAGTCAAACCTTTGTTTACATATTTAAATTGTTAATTCAACACGCAAGTAGGTAGTAAGATTGGGCTCTGTCATTTTGGTTTTTATTGATCGATATTTTCATTGTTCTCCCCTCAGGTCCTTTTGACACCACGACAGGCAATGTGTCCGCAGTGTTCGACACGCAGATCACACCTTCAGGATGGACCTTTCAGATCTGGAGCGTCATCTACACCTGGCTGATAGCGATGGTGATCTACATCGTCACCGGACTCTGCAGAAAGTACAGACGACTTCTTTTACTCTCTACTTTAAAACCTTTTTTTGTCATTTAAACCTGTGTAGAATAGAACGTGCAAATAGTATCTAGTAATGTTCTTTGTCAGGGAGTATCATGGGCTTTAAGAATCACAGAAAATAATAGATGGTCCCTGTTCTGTGGATGTTTTCACCGACTTACTGTGGTTCTCTTTCTCTTGTAGGAATGGTTATGGCTATGTTTACTGCAGCCCTGCGGTTCTGCCGTATGGCTTCTTCATTAGCTGGTGCCTTAATCTGTGTTTCAATATTGGCTGGCTAATTGTTTGGGACAAAGGGTAAGATTCCTTTGATTATTCCCTAATAAATTAAGCAACCAAATTTAAATGATTATGGTTAAATTCATGTTTCTGCTTTCTGTTCCCTTCATAAGAATAATGATCGCTGCGCTGGTGTTCCTCGTGCTGGTCATCTGCACCAACTACTCCATGATCTTCTTCATCTGCCATGGCCTTCATGTTTATGGAGCCTGGCTCAAGAAATACCACAAGGTCGACTTGTGGCTTCTCCGTGTGCTGGTTAGTATTATTAAAGATAATAGTGTCTCTTCTGGGACATGTCTGCATACTTTAATGTTCAAAAAGCTCAATATTGTTCTCATACTGCCTGTGCTGCAGCACCTCTTTTCACCCTCTGTCTGAAACCAGAGCCCCCAGTCTGCTCTGATTGGTTAGCTGGCCGGCTCTGTTGTGATTAGTCAGCCGCTTAGAGATTTCCCGCCCCTTAGCCTATCATGTAGAATGTGTTGGAGCGCTAGCCAATACAAGCGCCAGTGTTACATAGTGATGTCAGTAAACAAACGAAACACTACAGGAGGGGGAAAACCACCAAAAAGCTTTAATCTTGCATCTGACGGGTTATACAAGTCTACTTTTTCACATAAAAATAATCTGGTTTAAGAGTACGATCCCCACCCGCGTGCAAAACGAAAAAAAACTCTCTTTCCACTTGCAGGTTCAGAACGGTGTGATGATCTACACAACATGGACAACCATTGCAACCCTGATCAACCTGACAATCGTGCTGACCTATGATGTGGGTATGTCCCCGCTGGATGCTGCAACCATCTCCTACTGTTTTTTGACCGTCGTGCTGCTCGTGTGGTAAGTGCTCTTAACTTCTGATACTTACTAGAGAAGTAATGCAAAGCTTATTGTGAGATTCTGAATGTGTTTGCCCACAGGTTTGCTTTGGAGAACTTTGTGCTTGACAAACACGTGCGGTACGTCCTCGTCATCTACCCGGTTTTGATCTGGGCGCTCACTGGGAACCTGGACAAGAACTTTGATGCTGAATCACCCAACCGTAATGGCTTCTTCATTGGTAAGACACCGAAGAGAGCTCCATATTAATAAAATATGGTGGATGTGTATGATACAATAAGCTTGTAATCTCCTACGATGTCTCCTGAAACATGGCAGGTAGAGAGAAGTAAATAAGCACAATGACGGACAATAATGACACTTTTTTTTACTGTTTTTGAGTCAATTCTAAGAGAACATTTCAGATACCATCTTAAGTACTAACCAGGTGTTCCTCTCTTAGTTGCCCTGCTGGCTTCAGCCTCGGTGCTGTTCCTCGTCAGGATTGTTTTGGTGATTTGGAGGCACATCAAGCAGCCGCTCTACACAGACGTCAGTCCTGAAGCCATGGAACCGACGGACATCGCTGAAAAACAGAAAAAGATTTTCCGTTAAACCGTTTTTATAAAACACTGGATGTCATGTATCATAGCAACAAGTGGTGCCATTGTTAGGCATTACTACGTTGATTATCAGGAGAACAAATGTGTTTTTTTTGTGGAAATAAATTCACAATATTACGTTGAACTTTAGCTGACTGATCTATGGACCTTTTATGGCTCTCTCTAACATATGGATTCCAAAGTCATTAGGCTCTGATAAGGAGACTTTTACAACACAGAGGGGCAACACCTACCTTACAGTATAGACTATATGTTTTGACATTTTTCTAAGTTTTTTGCATCAAATATAAATGTATTTTATAATGCTGATTGTAATTCTCTGAATTTGTCATTATTCTTTATTTATTTAGAATAAATTATTTATACAATTTATCATGTGTGACACCTATTTTTTACAACTGAGCAGTGTGGGCTCTTTTGTCAATATGTGGCAGATGAAAGAGAGTATTACAATTCAAGAAAATATGCGTTGCTAAGTCCAAATATTATGATCATACAGTATGAGCTTGTTTTTTTTTACTATCATTCTGCAAGGAAAAAAACAACTTCATGGGGAAACAAGACATTATTATTTGCATTATTATTATTATCCTATATGTTCAAGTATGTTTAGTCATCTGCAATCTGAGTAATTATAATTATATTTTGAAGGGGGTAAGACATAATATACATTCTGGTTAGAATAAACCCTGATTGACCTGCAGGGGGCAGCACCGCTCAGCACAAAAACCGAATGTAACAGAAAAAGAAGAAGAGTGGAGTTATGTTTTAAATCCCTGACTCTAGTCTTTCAGGCAGCAAGAATGAATCCATAATCCATGAATATTGAAGGTTTTGTTAAATAGCAACATTTCAATCGGTTGTGTTTATGGTTGAATTTGACTACACTCAAGTTTAAATTGTTGCTTATTTTACAGCACATAATACTGAAGATAAGCGTTTGCCAAGGCAGCAATAGTGTTGCCTGCGAGAAATAACACGGGGCCGGAAGTCGCCTTGCTTTTCAGAGTGCGCGGCCCGACAAAATGTCAACAGCGGCATTGTTTTGCTAGCGCTAACACTCAACACTGATCATCAAATGGGCGATATAGCTGGCTAAACAGTTATTACTAGATATAAAGTCGGTCCTTATTTGATTTTAAGGAAGTAGATTCACATGAATGAATTCCTGGGCGCCAACTGAATCATAGCGGAGCAGGAAACAACATATAAGGCAGCTAACGGTTAGCAAAGCAGCGAACAATGGAGACAAAGTTACCTACCTTGGTAAGTTCATTTCTCCTTTTTGTGTTGCGTTACTCAGGGAAGAGGGTTGAAACCATAGACTGTATATATAAAGGTTGAAGTACATGTAACGTGAAGGACAACAGAGGGAGTTTTCCCAGTACCATTAACGTTATGGTAACTGAGAAGACGTAAAAGTCAAAGAAACCAATACAACAGCCTGTCCTTCGTCGTCAGGCTTCAGTTTGGGATCCCATTAATTGGTACTGCGCAACACTGAGGGGTGTTTCTATTATTGTGTCCATCCCATGATGTAACGCTAATTACAACTATAACGGTTGCATTAAGTGCAGTGATTAAAAGTAACTAAGTAGATTTACTCAAGTACTGTTCTTAAGTATAAGTACAATTTTGAGTGTCTTAAACGAGTACTTTACACGAGTATTTCAATGTTTTACTACTGTGTACTTTTACTCCACTACATGTATTTAACACCTTTAGTTACTTTACAGATGTGGATGAATGATGTGAAATATAATCAAGTGTTAAATCAGACTTTAGTTCCACCTGGAGTAAATTCACAAGCTACCCTGCAGTATACAAAGTCATTCAAACTAGCTGCACCTTTACCAGCTTTGAGAACACTTTAATGATCAATCATTATAAAACATATCATATATATTATTCTGAAATGGACCAATCTGCACAATCACTACTTTTACTGTCGCTACTTTAACTATATTTTGATGCTGATACTTTTATACTTTGAGTAACATTTTGTAGGACGTTAACTTGTGACAGAGTACTACTACACGTTCTACTTTTACTTAAGTACAAGATCTGAGTACTTCTCCCACCTTTGATATGTTGTAACGTTTATTAGAACAACAAATATGGCATTCAGTGTTATCAGATGTTTATCTTCTTTTACCCCTAATTCAATTCAATAGTAACCATTTACTTTTATTTGTTCAGAGGAGACCGAAGAAAAAACTGTGCTACCTTACAAACAAGGAAAGGTGAGTTTGAAAAGTGTTTTTTATTATGTCCCTATATGTTGTTCGTGTATGTCTTCGTAATATTGGCCTTTTTGATATGTTTTATGTAATGCAGACTTTCATCAGGTCCCTTTTGAACCTTTGTGTTTTCAGTCCAACTAAAAAAGTGGAAGGGCTGCTGACAATGGAAGACATTGATCGGATGTTTGATGACTTGGGTGAGTTTAATTGTGTTGCTTGAATCTTTTTTTAGTTTGTATTTTCATTATGTTTACTTATACTTCTTGTATTCTGTTCAGATCCACCCTGCGATGACTCGTTACCCTCATCTTCTCGGTGCATGACCTTTAATGTTGAGGCAAAGCAGAGTGAGAGGGAGGCTTCAACAGGCCCACACAAAGGGAAACTAATGGGAACAATTCCAAAAGGTCACATGGTAATGAACAGTCCATCACTACAGTGACTTCTGCTGATAAAACAAATGACTCTTCACATTGGAAATGGCTGATGAGCCAGTAGATACACAGCTAGTTAGTTAGTTTATACATTCAACATGCGTTATCTGTGTATAGGCTTTGTGTACCTTTCTTGAATTACACAAGAACTGGTGTCTGAAGACAGAATGAGTCTTTAAATATATGTTTCATAACCTTTTTAGCGTCCCAAAGGAGATGAAATACACCCCTCAAGGTCACCCAGTCCTAAACTAGTCATCGGTAAGAGACTCAAACCAACATTTTACTTGTTCTTCTCCTCTGCACCTTTTCTGTTTCTTCAAGTATCCTGATGTTGTTTTTACAGATCAGGACATCCCATTCGAAGCACATATGCCAGCGAAGACATCCAGCCCTATTGAAACAAATATGGCTGTCAAAGGGCTCGACATTGAAAAAGGCCGAGCTGTGTCTCCACTTCTGTTTGCCTGTGAGGATGAGGGAGACGCAAAGACTCCACCCAATGGACACGTCACAGAGGAGTGAGTTATTAATCATGCTTTTCGCATAGGAACGTTGGTTTTATAAGGTGTAGGATTCTAGTGTCTAAAACTAAGAAAGTATTTTATCACTTGTTTCATTCAATAACTGTCTTTTCCTCTAGAAGAAGTATGGACTTTGAGTTTGAGACCCCTCCATGCAAGGTGGTACTAAGCAGACTTAAGATGTCCAGTCAGCAAAACAAGGTGGAGGAAGCATGGTAAGAGCATTTTCATTATCAATTTAATTAGGGATGCTCCGATCGCCAATTTTGGGGCCGATCGCCGGAATCAGTATCGGCCGATACCGATGGCCGATCCGACCGAGTGGGCGGGGCCTATGGGGATTTTCCATTTAAAGTGATGTTTAAAACTCAGTTAATGCTCATTCACTGGCGCTTACACAAACAACCACCAACATAATTATTACATTCAAATGAAGTACATTATTCAAGTTTACATTAACTTTGGATAATAACACGGGAGAAATGAGCGGAAGCACACTCTCTCTCCCTCCCTCTCTCTCCCTCCCTCCCTCTCTCTCTCTCCCTCTCTCTCTCCCTCTCTCTCTCTCTCTCTCTCTCTCTCTCTCTCCCTCTCTGTCTCTCTCTCCCTCCCTCTCTCTCTCCCTCTCTCTCTCTCTCTCCTGACAGCCTGTCAGTATCTCCTGCAGCTCACTGATCCAGTAATGACTGACCCGACAGTGAATAATAAACATATTTATAACTAGTTAAGCTTGTTCCAGAGGTAGATAAAATAGCTAAGTGTGTTAGGTCTAACTCTTAGTGTGTGTTCTGCTCCGCTCACCGGTCATAGGTCACAGCGGGCGGAGCTGCAGGATTTCTGCTTCACACACGTTGCATACCGCTATTTTACTGTCTTTTTCGGACACCTTAAAATACTGCCAGACCGGTGAAGCCATTTTGGCGAGCTTGTTTTGCCGCGCACAGAGAAACGTGTCATGTATTTTACGTCATGTGATCGGCTCTCCTGATCGGCATTTATAGAGAGCACCGGCCGATATTGATCGGCGGCCGATAAACGAGTCACATTGCCGTCTCAATGGTCAATTTTGTTATGATATCTGCCCTTTAATTGCGTGCTACTGAGTTACATTTGTGGATGTTTGCCTTTTTTAGATTACTGTCACTTTTAACTCATTTACCTGTGATGTATATTCTCTTCTTTCCTGCAGTAAAGAGACTCAAACTCTCAGTAAAAACCCAGCGCAGAAACCTCAAACACCTGTTGTGGAGGTCCAAAGAAAAACACCAAGGTAGGAAGTGAAGAGTGTTTGATGAGTAGTTACTATTATGTTTTGGTGATTAAACAATACTGGAGTTGGTACAACGAAATATGTAATGTAATATTTAAGAATTGTCATAGAATATACATACGGTATAAATAAATATGGCTAACAAAAAATAACATTAAGTTAGTCATACATGTGCAACTCAAAGAGATGTTATTAAATAATGTAATTCTCCAAAATCACACACAATATTTTATCTATATAATCTCGCAATAAAGCCTATTGTGCCAATTTAGAACTTAATTTTGTTATTTGAAGAATATTTTGGTTGTTTATTTCCAGGATAGAAATGGTAGCCCCCCCCGCAGCAGCAGTGGGACGAGAGCCTGAACTCGCAGCTCCTGAGAAAACCATTGAAACTGTTCCCGAGCAGCCGTTAGTGGAGCCCGCCTGCGTGCAAAAAAACATTGTGGCTTTTATTCAGAAGCTCAGAGAACGCACACTGTCCAAACCTGCATGGTGAGTTGGCAAAACCACTATATATATTTACCAAGTAATGGCTCTACATATTCATTGAAATGTAATATTAAATAATCCTTATTTTTAGTACGAGGAAGTCTGCATCCCCCGTGAAAGTATCCACTCCTCCTCCTGAACCAGAGGATGAATTCCTGATTCTGGAGGACGACGCTGCTCCTTTTTGGTTTTCCATCCGGAGTAAAACTGCCAAGAAACAGAAACGGAGTGGAACGACGAGCATCGACAAAGGCAGCGTGACAGATAAAAGCACGAAGGGAAGCTCACCTGAAGAGACGGAGAGAAAACCAAGATGGCCCAGTGTCAAATGGAAGACGAAGAAAACTAAAGAGAAGAAGAACGAGGTGACAGAGGCTGATCGTGCTGAGGAGGAAGTGGAACTACCCGGTCCTGAGGAGCCTCCTGAGGACTCGATAGACGAGAAGAAGCCAAACAACAAGAAGAAACAACGACTGAAGAAGGTACCGCCTGAAGACAGCGACGAGGAAGAGGAGCCGCCGAAAACAAGCAAGGAAACACGGGAAGATGAACCCGCTGTGAGAATAGATAAGAAAGCTCTTAACTCAAAGACTTTAAAAGATGCCAAGACGAGCAGAGCTAAGCCGATGAAGAGGGGCAAAAAAGTGCCGCAGGGATCTGATGGAGAAACGTACGAGGCTTCAAAGAAACAAGGTCCGAGCAGCGAGGAAGTGGGGGCTACAGACCTGGGGGCTCTTTCAGGTAAACAACTCCTAAAATCTCTTCATACGTATTGAGGCGCTTTCACACCGGAGTACTTTTCCCTTTTAGTTCCGATAGTTCCTGGGATTTTGCGTTCACACCAAAAAGAGAACTTAGTTCATGAGAACTTTTCCCCCCTTTTTAGTGCCTGCTAGAGAGGTGGGACTATCCTGAGGAGAAAAGAGTTCCAATTTCTGATTGGCTGGGCGGATTGCAAACCACGCCCCGTAAAACTCGGAAGCCGCTGGCATTCGCATTATTAGCATTAGCATTAGCATTATTAGCATTAGACCCGCGCACAAACGGAGAGAGACTAACTTATGGCAACACAAAAAAAAACATGGGAGCGGTGGAGATGAGGAGGTGTCGGCGTTCTGGCGATTTACTCGGAAGGCTTCAGTAGAAGCTGCTGGGAGTCCCAGCAGCTTCTACTGAAGCCTTCCCCAACTCCGGGGACTCCGGGTGGCAGAATACGCCGTGAAGTTGTTTGCGGCCTGCCAGTAAACCCAAAGCAGAAGAAGTGACGTCAGCGGCTTCATTTCATGGATGTATAATAAGAACTGGATACAGCGTGGGAGGCGGGGTTTCGTTCTTTCCTATGAGAGCTGCTCATTGGCGCATGAGGACAAAATGGCCCAACTTTTGAGAGAGAGAAACATCACAGATTACCCATCATGCCTAGCTTTCAGAGCAGAAGAACCCGTATGTGCGCTCACAGAGCATGCGCCCCTTAAGCCCCGCCCCCCGAGCTCCCACTCTCGGCTCAGTAGAATGAATGGAGACAGAAAATAAATCTAGATTCGGCTTTTAGTGCATTTTACAACTTTAAGGACCGAATGATTCTAATAAGGGCTATACAATAGTTCATACTGGGTAGTTTATTTAGTTAAAAAAATTATCCGCTGATTTACAGACGTTTCTTTCCCAATGTTAGTCAATGGGGAAAAGTCTTTCTGGGCCCAATGACGTCACGGACTGATACGGAAATTGTAGTACCGCCGTTTGGACACAACGAATATTTTCATCAGAGTCCGGCGCACTTCCTGGGGGCTTGCTTCATTTGCGTAATCTTCCCTCAGGGACTTATTCCGGTGTGAACGCGATCTGCTCTTTAGTTCCGGGAACTAAGTACGGCAAAGTACTTGGTGTGAAAAGGTGGCTTTTTAATCCTTCTGCTACTTGGTTAAATGTTAGTTAATGTTTGTGCTGCTAATGTACCCCCCACATTTAGACAGACAATTCAATATTTGTGAATTGAGACAGGTGGAAACTACTGACGGATATTATCAGTGTTTTATACTTTAGTGATTGTTCTTTTGTGAGGGAATGAACATCCCTGAACAGATGTTGTACGTCACCCTTAATTAACAAATTAGAAAAATAACAAGTAAAAACATGCAAGATAGATGCGGGAGGCTGTGGCGCAGTGGACTAGGGATCAGGGGGGCACAGGTTCAAACCCCACTGCAGTCAGCATGTCGTTGTGTCCCTGAGACACTTCGCCCCAAATTGCTCCTGTGGGGATTGTCCACAGCATCGAGTATGTAAGTCGCTTTGGATAAAAGCGTCTAACAAGTAATAAATAACATGTAATGTAATGTCCAAGCTTATAGGGATCCGTCCTTTTAAGAATAGGTAGACCCTAGGACCTATAGAACATTTAGACATCCTTTTAAATGCTTTTCTTTTATTTCGCACAGACGAAGAAATCATGAATCCCGAAGCACAAACACGAGAGGATTCAGCAGATGATAAAAGGGATAAAAATATCAAACTACCCGTGGTGTCTGGTGACGACAGTTTGATTCTGGCAAGGAGGAGGAGGAGGCCTCCTGGAGAGTGGTGGATGCATCAGAGCCCAGAAGAAACGACAGGTAAATGCAACCAGCCGCCAGTGAAGGAGGCAACACGGCAAACACACAGCAGCAGCAGCTTCACCTGTTGGGACTAAAAAGGACAAATATTTTCAGGTGACTATTAAAAAGTACAAGATGCCCAACCAGGAGCCCTGTGGAGCTTCACCTGTAAAGGACAAAGTGTTGAAGAACATAAATCCGACACAGCCTGCTGCACCAACAAGTCAGAAGACAAATAAAGGTAAAGAAAAGAAACAGAATAGAGGAGGAGAAACTCAGGGGGAAGAGAGTCATACGACTGAAGCAGAGCCTTTTGAGGAGCAGCAGGAGGAGGGAGAGGAGGGAGAGGAGGATGTTCAGTCCAGCCCGTTGGTGTTCTCACACGGAGAGCCTTTTGAGGAGCAGCAGGAGGAGGGAGAGGAGGGAGAGGAGGATGTTCAGTCCAGCCCGTTGGTGTTCTCACACGGAGAGCCTTTTGAGGAGCAGCAGGAGGAGGGAGAGGAGGGAGAGGAGGATGTTCAGTCCAGCCCGTTGGTGTTCTCACACAGAGAGCTCAGCAACAACTCAGGTGAGTGGAGGAAGAACTGGGTTCCTTTACTTACAGAAAAGTAGTCCGGTACTAGTTCGGTTTTAAAAGTCCATAATTAAACTATTCCACAGAGACAGCAGGAAAAACAATATACGGAGAAAGTGGAAAAGAAAACAAACACAGCCAGTAAATAACAAACAAAGTAAACAAAATATTAGCTATTAGCTCCCCCCCGCAGCGTTCATATCATCCATCATGTGATAATAGGCATCTGTTACAAGTCAGGGTGTCCGCGGGGTCTTAAAAAGTATTAAAAGTTGATAAATCAATTTAGCGAAAATGAAGGCTATTAAAAAGTATTAAACGGCATTTTCCAAGGTATTACATTTTGTAGCTTGTTTTCAATAAGTATATAAATTGTCCAAAGAGGTTGTATTCTACAGTCTGCCTGAATGTAATCATTGCGTAGGTGTGTAGTGTGATTCTGTGTAGTTTATTTATGGCATCCCGTTGGGTTTGACGTCATCTGAACAGGACATCGCACGCTCACTGCTTGATAGCGCGCGAAGGTCCGTTTACGCCGGTTGTCAAACAACATCGTTATGGGGAAATGCAAGTTTGCGTCCAAATGGTTGGAAGATAAGGAGGAAGGACAATCAATACTGTATATAGTCAATGTGAGGTAAAGTGTGTCGCCAATGTAACCGGTTAGAACTCAAAGTGGCGATGAGGTCTTAAAATGTATGGAAAGGGTCTTAAAAAAGGTCTTAAAAGGTTTTACATTTGACTTCAGGATTCCTGCTTATACCCTGCAAGTACAAATCCAGCAGTTAAGGTCGCATTGAAGTAAAAGCAACATGTATTTGAACTCTTTTTACTAAAAGGTACCATGGGGTCAGATTATAATGTTCCAAAGGGGGGTTCGTTTAGCACGAAACACTTGAAACAACTAAAGGATAAGTTAAACAAGAAAGTAGAAAGAAAGTGAAGTCATAGAAAACTATGTCTGCTAAAAAGCTATATGCTATATAAATAAACTTGCTTTGCCTTCAACAGGGGAGAAGCCGTTTCAAAAAGTATACCATCATGTCTCCAGTAAGAAGGAAGCGCCTCAAAGGAAGGAGCCTCAAAGGAAGGAGCCTCAAAGGAAGGAGCCTCTCAGCGCAGTGAGGCGGGGCAGGAGAGCCCCCGGGAGCTGGTGGGTGGTGCAGGACGTGGAGAGCGTCTCCCCTCAGCAGCAGAAGCCCAAACCTCGGAAAGAAAGAAGAAACGCATCAGATCTCCTCCACCTCCCAAAGAGAGTTCCTCCGTGCCGCTCCTAAACCCACAGTCTCCGCTGAAGAGATCTCGGGCCGCTTCAAACAAGCCCCCGAGTGTGGGCAGAGGTCGGAGGAAGAGACAGAAAGTGCCGGAGCGTCCTGTGGAGGAAATCCCTCCTGCTGACTATCCCGTGATCAGGTATATAGCAGGATATATTTGTCAGAACACACAAAATATATATATATTTTTTATTATTTATTCTACTATTTCAACAACAGTTTATACATCTAGAAAAACAAACAATGAGTAGAAGCGGAGGGCAGAAAGCAGAGTTTACACAGAGGTAGCCCTCCCGTTAAGGTTAAGTAAATAAAAGATAATTCCGTAATGAAATACTCACACCGATAAACTAAATTCTATATATACATACACATACATATGTACACATATACATACATACACCCCTTTACAGGGTGAAAATAAAATAATAAAGTAAAACAAATAAATAAATTCCTAGAAGTCCATGTTCAGATAACAAGACGGTTTCATTTCTCATCCTATTTTTATGTAAACTGATAATAATGATATTTCAATCAGGAGAGACGTGTTGATGAAAGAATACATATTTATTGCCAGGAATACACAAATGAATGTAATGGAGTTTTGGCGATTCGATGAAACCCCCCGGGGTCTAGACACTGGTGGTGGTGAATGGATGGTTGGGGTCGGTCTGAAGGGGAGGGGCTTAGCTTGACCCTGGTGGTGGTGAATGGATGGTTGGGTTCGGTCTGAAGGGGAGGGGCTTAGCTTGACCCTGGTGGTGGTGAATGGATAGTTGGGTTCGGTCTGAAGGGGAGGGGCTTAGCTTGACCCTGGTGGTGGTGAATGGATGGTTGGGGTCGGTCTGAAGGGGAGGGGCTTAGCTTGACCCTGGTGGTGGTGAATGGATGGTTGGGGTCGGTCTGAAGGGGAGGGGCTTAGCTTGACCCTGGTGGTGGTGAATGGATGGTTGGGTTCGGTCTGAAGGGGAGGGGCTTAGCTTGACCCTGGTGGTGGTGAATGGATGGTTGGGGTCGGTCTGAAGGGGAGGGGCTTAGCTTGACCCTGGTGGTGGTGAATGGATGGTTGGGGTCGGTCTGAAGGGGATGGGCTTAGCTTGACCCTGGTGGTGGTGAATGGATGGTTGAGTTCGGTCTGAAGGGGAGGGGCTTAGCTTGACCCTGGTGGTGGTGAATGGATAGTTGGGTTCGGTCTGAAGGGGAGGGGCTTAGCTTGACCCTGGATTCAAAGGGACGGGAGGTGAAAAGGGGGGGAGGAGGGTTGTGTAGAGTCACCTGAAATGACAGCTGTCAGAGGGGGGAGAGCAGATTTTAAAGGTTTAGCGGAGCGCTGTGATAGGCTTGTGAGAATAGAGCGAAGTGATTGGTTAAGCTGGAGAGTGACGCCCCCGATCACTTATTGAGAGGAGAGAGAGTAGTTACATGGAAATAGTTAATGAATGAGTAAAGACGGTCTTCCTGGTTGAACTAAGCTTCATTTCTCATTATAATTGTTATAGCATTTAAAATTATTATCATTATTGTTATTATCATTGTCATATAATGATATATCTTTTTTTAATCTGTTTTTAAGTTAATCCAAAGACACAATGACCGGATAAAGATACAAAAAAAAAACGAAACAAAAAACATTAGACAAAAAAAACGCAGCTAGGTATTCCCATGTTTTGGTTAGTTAGGGTATTCTGCTAATACATTTTTTCGTCTTGATTTGAATTCTATCACAACACTTGTGATATATAACCCATCTTTATATCTCTCTCTATCTGTACACAGTACTCCTAACGACCTCATACACCACAGCAGCCCCCAGGATGAGGGGCCACAGCGTCATTCAGTGGATCGGTGAGGACGAGTCTGAGTCTCTCTTAATATCTCCCTCTTACTGTCGATACACGTTTATATTTCCCACTATTTTCCCACAGGTCGAGGCTCTTGAGAAGTGGGCCGTCCTCCATGATTGTTCTGGAGCAGTACGAGGACGACAGCTCGAGTATGTTTTTAAACATTTAACAATTTACAATATACTTTAATGTATACCAAATGTTCTTATATTTACCTAACCTAAGTTTCTTTCCCCACACAATGTCACCAACCCTTATCTCTTTGAAAATGTTGTCAGGTTTATGATGGGGAACCACGACTATTGGTATTAAGGAATTAATAATAATCACACTTTGATAAATCTGGAATAAAAACAGCAAGAATAGTGATCAGTGTTTCCGCCAGACCGGGGCTGAGAGGGCGTCCACCCCGAGAGCGAGGGGGTGTGACGTCACGTTGTGTCACGTGACTTGAATTTTGAATTGAGCCGTCCCTTATAGATACTATCTCTTTACGTCAGGGGTGTCAAACTCAAATTCATCGCGGGCCACATTAGCATTATGGTTGCACTCAAAGGGCCGGTTGTAACTATATAAATATACATATATAAATATATAATATATACAAAATAATGTATTATATTACATTATTCCCTCTGCATTGGATTATTATCGGATAGGCTAATAACTTAGTAATTAACTACGTCTGAAAGCAGAAGTCCAGGGCAAATAATTCTCTCTTCAGTGCGCATGTCCAGTGCGCGAAGCATTGTGGGACATGTCGTCTGTAAAGTGGCATGTAACCGTATAATAACGTATTATATTCTTTGCAAGCTCTTGGGGGCCACATCAAATGAAGTCGCGGGCCGGATTTGGCCCCCGGGCCTTGAGTTTGACACCCCTGCTTTACGTATTAGTGATGGGAATTCTGGCACTTTTTTAGTTTGACTAGTCACTAAGAAGTGCCGGCTCTTTCGGCTCCTAAACGGCTCTTCATGTTACCACAGTTTATCACAGTTCACGCGCGTGCTCCACTAGCACCCCCCCGTCAAGGCTCGCCGGCAGTACACTTTCCGTCACAGGAACAAGCTTTGCTGGCGGCGAAAAGAATCCCACCAGACTCCTTTGCCCCTCCAACAGAGGGATGTCCTTTAGGGCTGCACGATTTGGGGAAATAATGTAATTGCGATTTTTCTGACAGATATTGTGATTCGATTTGCGATATTTGTTTTTAAGCGACCCAACGGAAGTTTATTGTAAAATGCGGCCGTATCTCCGGCTAGGAAGGTCGTATCAACGTGCTCCCGTCTCTAGCACCCCCGCAGCCCGAGCTACGAGTGAAAGAACTAAACTTACATGAAACTTCCGTTGGGTTGCTTTAAAGTCAAGCTTCAGT